GAATCTGATCCAAAGGATTCTGCTCCCAAGGATCATGCGACCCAAATTGATGATGTAATTCATCAAGAAGTTGATCCCAAAGAATCTGAACTGGAGAAATCTGAGCCCAAGGAATCTGATCCCAAGGATCCTGCGATCCCATTGGATGGTGATGTCCCGGTGCAATCTACGGTGGTGGAATCTGAGATTCCTACTGGTCAACGCAAACGCCCTGTTTACGTATGGATTCCTCGAGAGCCTATAATAATGGACAATATTGTGCGAGCTGAGTCTTTTGTTGAAACGACCACAAGAAAAGCAAATGTGCTCTTCAAGTTTATGCAAAAACCAAGAGAAGAGAGGTTTTGGATATCGAGGTTGAATCACGTAAGGAAATCACGATTCTTCGAAGACTTTCTACAAGAAGGTGTATGGCTCAAAGACAATGTAAGTATTTTGACCGATTATACTAGTTTCGTTGTTTGACCATTCATATTTGGTTTGACTAGTTTGACTGTTTTTTGTTTTACAGCATATCGACGAAGCAATGCACGAAATCCGGAAACGTGTAAAAAAATTTTCACCGTGCCACAGGAAGTACTTCCTCTGTGACGTGCGTTGTTGTGAATACTTCAAATGGTGGGAAATGGGGCAAAAAGAAATCGGTGGTGTTGGACAATACATGAGTGGGGACTTGCCACTTGACGGTGGTAGCAGAAATTTTAATATATATATATATATATATATATATATATATATATATATTGGTTTGAAAAATATTAATATTCTTAAACTAAAATTCCATCTAGACAAATCCATATAACTTCGGACATAATTTACGTGTCAAATAAAAAATTCAATACACAAATTCGAGTCGACATATTAATCTGTTGGAAAAAAAAATTGCCAAAATGTAATGTCAGTTCTCGTCTTGTCACCGCGTCGCGTTGATTCCCACCCAGTTAAACATGTTACATGCAGATGTTTTGGGCCAAACGGGCATGGGCTCTAATTATCAATTCATATAACGGACTCATGTTTGGGCCAAATGGGCTTGGGCCCAATTTCTTTATTCTGACGATAAATCTAAACGATGCCGTTTCGGGGCAAGTGGGAGTTAAGAGAACCCCGGGGCCGTGCCGAGGCGAGACGATCGCTAGAGAGCGTGCCCGTGTGATTGAGGAGAGCTCTGACAATGGCGTGGACGCGAAGGTTCTAGGAACAACTCAACCCTGTTCTGCTCTTGGCTTCCCTAGATTATACTCCAAACCCGCTTATGCTGGTAAGCGGTTTTTTGTTTCGCCGATTTACTGCTCCTCTGCTGCCTCGATTCCGTTTCCCGAGAATGATGGACAGAAATTTGCGCGAATCAGCTTATTCTAGATATTTAGGACTGAACTTAAGCGTTCTGGTTTCCGGAAATTTAAGTGAATGTGTAAGAATTGAAGTATTTCGATTGGTTTCAGCGTTTAGAGTTCTCTGGATATGGGGGACTTAGTCGATTTCGATGGGGTTGAGGACCAAGCGTAGGTATTCTGATTTCCGTGAAATATTAAGGGAAGATGTAAGGATTAGTGGGTTTTGATTGGTTTCGGTTCGGTGTTTGGGGATTAGGGTTTAACGGTTTCCTCGTCGTGAATCTCCTGATGATGCTTATTGATCGACTGAGTCAGAAAACGAAAATCATTTTCACAGTATGCTGCAAAATTCGAAAACCATGGCTTAAATTCTAACCTGGGTAACATTCTTTGTATAGCATTATCGTTAGCAACGACATGCTATTGAGATTTGCAGGTGTTTGGGTATATGCTGCCTAATTCTAAAGATCCCCAATGATCATTGAATATGGATCGAGTGCTGCATTTGATTTTTTCTCTTTTTTGATATTGCAGTGAAAGTTGGGATTCCAGAGTTCTTGGGTGGGATTGGGGGAGGAGTCGAGACCCACATTGCCAAGCTCGAAACCAAGATTGGAGATCTCAATAAACTCCTTGTGACACGCACTCTCAAACTCAAGAAATTCGGGATCCCCTGCAAGCATGTAAGTATCAATTCTCTGTTCTGCTTTATAGTTATACACGGCCTTTCACGGGATATTGCTGCTGAATTAGCATCTCAGTAATTTGAGAATCTCGAAAATGGGGGTCCAAGGTTTTTCTAAAACTTTCTTTTTGCTTGAGAGAATGAAATATCCTACTCGAACTGAATTTGCTCCTATTGAATAATTTAACTAAGTATACTAACTAAGGCAATAAAAGGTTGGGTTCTTGAACTGCCGATCGTGAATCATGATTTATCTCGTGTTCTTATGTAATCATCCAAGCTATTATTAGTTTGAGATTCGGTATCTTTTCGTGGTTGATGGTACAAGCAAGAAAGGTATGCTTGTATATTCGTTCCGGTCCCTTATTTCCTTGCTTGAGATGTCTTCCTCCATATGATTATGGTATCAAATCTTGTGTGATATCTCAATCAATCCTTGAGTTCATTTATTTGTCTCCCCCATGTTTTTGACAAATCCGAATTCGGGCGTTTGCAGAGGAAACTCATACTGAAGTATGCCCACAAATACAGGCTCGGGCTATGGAAACCGAGAGCAGACGCTATCAGAGCCTGATCGAGCCACTCGCCGCATTGAATTTGTGAGCGTTAGTTGTACTCAAATGATCATTTTTCTCGTATTGGACCATCTGGTCTGGACAGTGACCGACTTCAAACCCAGTTCCCACATTCATGCAGGTCTTGTCCATCAGTCTAGAAACATGTCCGGAGCTGGATAGGATCCTAACTCCTGAGGCATTGGACAAATATTTAAATATTGTTTTAACGTCATCTTTCGTAAAATGTGTCATCTTTCGTAAAATGTGTTTTTTTTTTTTTTTTTTTTTACAAACGCCATTTCCGTATTTATAGATGAGAGGTGGACATTCACTGCTCTATAAATCTTGAAATTTACAGTAATAAATTTAAAATACACTGTTGAATTATATTTTTAATATTAGATAATGCTCATTCGGTAATGAGCAATTTGGCATAAAAAAAATTTCACAAAATGTATTCTTTTCTTTAATAACCAACAAATTCGTTATCTTGCAGCCTAATATATGGAGTTAATAAGGCTAACTATATCATGTAAATGTTATATTCTTTTTTATAAACACATTTTTTTATATATTGAATTGTTGGATTAATTTCATAATTTAATGAAATATGACATGAATAGAAAGATAATATTCGCAAAAAAAATTTTGAATATGCGTAAGCTATATAATCCAATGGAACTCCTAGTATATAAATTGTATAAAATTTCCCAAATTTTCAGCCGGGATATGGAGGGAAAATTCTATTTAGTTTTTCTATTTTAGTAAAAATGTTATCATTAAATTAGTGGACCTGACCATATACCACATGTTGGCATACGCTACACTTTCATGATTGCAAATTAATGTGTGTGAATATTATTAGAAAATCTGTTGGCATTAATTTTCCATATCCAACTGCAAACCTCTTTTGTACAATGTAAGGAAATAAAATCCGAATAAATAAAAATATTCTAACATTGTTTACAAAAATCAGACAAATCCCATTTTTTTTATTCTTAAAAATAATTATTTGCACTTTATTTTCTTAAGACATAACATTTTTATTTATTTCCACGGAATTATTCGTGTACCAGTATATATGTTTTTTTTTTCGAAATAACAAATCAAAACTTTGATTACTGTTTTAACATAATACCTTATAATTATGTAATAGAGTAATATTTTTCATGAAACCCCAGTTTCATCATCAAACTCCCAACAAAAAATATCACAGATGAATTAAAAAACACAAACCCAACAAAAAAAAAAATCCCAACTTTAATCAATCTGTATGTACACACTCTCAAGACCATGATCAAAACATCGTTCAACGTCTTCCTCCAGACAAAACTGGAAGAACAGATACAAAACAGCGAATCCATGATCACAAGCGACGCAGAATCGGCACTGGAAGTGGAGATCCGACCAAACCCAAGAACCCTAAATCTATTCCCGTGGACGATACGGAAGACGCTGACGATCGAAGACGTGGGATTCTTCGGAGGGCTTCAGTTGTCGGAAGAACAGGTCGGGGAGAGGATTTTCCGGCACTGGGAGTCGCCGGGTAGAGCCAAGGAGAAAGTAGAGATCGTGATGCGTGATCTCGATACGGACACTTATCACAACCTGCTGTTGAGGAAGTTCCCAAATGACAAGAACTACACGATCTATGAGTTTTGGATCGAAGAGTTTGTTCTTCGGAGACAATTAAAGATCGGGATGGTTATTGGCTTGTATTGGGATCTCAAGGATCGTGTCCTCTGTTTCTCTGTGCTGTATGATGATGATGATGATAATGATTCTCTGAACTGATATATGCACATATACATATATATATGTGTATGTGTACATGCGAAAGATTTAAATGTTTGTTCTCTTTCATCGTGCGCGCGCACACGTGCATGTGTTGACCGTTATGTTGGATATATAAAAGTTAAGATCCGATCAGATTCGGTAACTAAAAACACTAATCACATGTAAACTCTGCTATGGAATGTAAATAGAATTTATATATTATATATATATTCAACAACATGCTCTCTCTCTATGAAAATTTCCATTGGATTTTTTTTATTGAATCGATTAAGTTTTTGTTTAATTAAGCTCATGTTGAAGCGACGAGCGTTATGTTGGTCCAATTTGTAATAGACAGAGTTAGGGAGATGTTCAACTCAGTGTCGGAAGAAAATGTTGTAAAAAATCTCTTCAAATCTACGTTTGAATATAATATATATATATACGGCAACACGTGTGTATACACAAACTACATATCGTTTCCGGTGGAAGATTAGTGAGAGACGTGGCGCAATATGATTGGGTGAAGATAGTCCACGTGGCTTGCTATTCTCACACACACAAGGTCGCTCCTTTTCCACTTCCTCCCTCGACCTGTTTCGCCTAACAAGCGGATTCTATTCTGAGAAGAAACCACCGCAGATAAGGTTCCGTCTTCTCTCGTTTTTCCTCTCTTTCCCGGAAAAACAGCGAGGTTGAAGAGAACCCAGTGACAGCAAGGCACCAGCGAACAAAACCCAGTAAAAATTTTACCGGATTTGACGTGAATTCGAGGTCTTTTTGATGTTTTGATTATTTTCTCCCCCTGGAGGTTGCATGAATCGGAAGGAATCCAGAAGGAAGAACTACGGGTCCTTCAAGTTCGATTACTTGAAGAAGGAAGAGGAGAGTAAGGTTTTGGGATGGCTGCTTCCATGGCTATTCTCAGACAATCGCCGTCTTTCGATTTTCTGTTCGATTTTCCGGCCCAGAAGAAACCTTCTCTATCGCCGGTGGTTTCTGCTCGATTTCGCCACCGCTTCCCTTCTTGCAGATGGTTGAGTCTCAGTTCAGCTTCGAATCCTCGCAGGTTTGGATTGGTTTGTTTTCTCCTGTCTAGTTCCCGAGTTCATTCTAGTCGGATTCGAGAGCTTTGAATTTGAAAATCAAGTTTCCGGTGCCATTGAGCTACACTGCTTGTGAGCTTCGATTTCATCCTTGTGTCTGTGTTTCTCAAGTAATTTAAATCAATTGATAGTTCCTGTGAAAAAAAAAAATTAAGTATAGGAGTGGGTTTTTGCAATGTTTTAAGCAGAAGTCGATCAAATTAGGTTTGCTGGATTTTGCTATTTCTTGCTGATTTGGGTACTTCCTTTGCATGATAGGTTAAATAGCTTTAGTTCAAGGTGTTCAATAATAAATACAGATGTATGTCATGAACATGTCACTACTGATGATGACAAGGTCCATGGGGATTTGCCAACTCCAGCGGAGGATCATCTGGTTCCAACAGTACATCTCGATACCGATATCTCGATAGCTGAATCATTTTGCCTGCTCTCTGACTGCACTTATGTAGACACCCTTTTGACGGCATTGCCCGTATGTCACCCTTTCCCTTCCCCTTTTATCTGAATTTACAAATCAAAACCAAACATAAGCAAGATAGTCTTTTGTTTCTTCTTTGTCGGTTTTCTAGGTCTTGTCTGAGGAGGAGCAGAATGTACTCGCAGCCACTCCAGCTCATCCCGAAGGTCTATATGGTACGAGCACTGGCCCATTCGTCTCACATAACTTCTGGAAAGACGAGATTTCAGTTGGTCAACGATTATCTCATAAGAATATCTTTAGTCATGACAGTCACCAACATCAAATAATATCGTTTTTTTTTTCAGTTTTATATGCTAGCTGTTTGGTTGGTAATTTGGTTGAACAACTTTGGAATTTCGCCTGGCCGTCAGCCATTGCACTGCTTCATCCAAGCCTACTACCTGTAGCAGCCATTGGGTTCTTTACCAAAGTGGCTATAATATTTGGAGGTCCTGTGGTTGGAAAATTTATGGATCACAGTCCCAGGGTTCCCACTTATATTTCGTTGAATGTTGTCCAGGTAATCTTTGATGAAGAAACCACAAAAGTTTTTTAAATTCAACATTTTACATCTGAAAAGTCGTATTTTGTAATCACAAAATACAAATGATTTCTGCCATGTTTCGGTCTCTTAGTAGTTAGTGTAGCGAGATACTTTGAAACTCGACCCATGGATAAACTATCTATTTCCACTGTTCATAATTATCTATTTCCTTCATCTATTTTGTTTACTGTAATTCTGTAATCAGAAATTTTTTCCTCCTAATGTCACTGCAACTAAGAATTCGCAAACACAGCTTTGACCGACTGAATGATCGTTATGATGGCAGGCAACAGCACAAGTTCTATCTGCAGGAATGATAATTCACGCGTACACAACACCTTCAGCATCTGCATCATCATTACTTCTCCGGCCTTGGTTTTCTGTATTGGTACTTGCAGGAGCAGTTGATAGATTATGTGGAATAGCATCGGGAGTTGCTATAGAGCGTGACTGGGTTGTGCTGGTATTCTTTCCCGGTCTTTCCTTCACACCTATGCCTTAGCATTAGGGAAAATCACTCAAATGACCCACTTGGGTCGCATCTATTTCACGTGTACACCACAAAAAACATAACACATTTTTTTTTAAAAGACGAAATTACCCTTAATGAATACACGATATTTATCCGTTCGAAAACAACTTCGTTATTATGACTTCGTAATTAATTCTAAATATAGTTACAATTGATTCTAAAAAAGGTGGCAAAAAAATCTGTCTTATTTTAGTTGTATATCAGTTATATGTTAGTGGTAATAAGGTCGCAAAAAATAAAACGAAAAGGGTATTTCGGACTTTTTCAACCGAAAAGTGGGTTAAAATTGAATTTTTTTTTTTTTTTCGGTGGTGTACGCTGAAATAGCTGCGACCCAAGTGGGTTATTTGGGTAAAAACCCCTTAGCATTATCCATTTCAATATTTAAAACAAAAGAGGGAAATAAAGAATGAAACACTGGACTGAAGTATTATTTAATGGTTTCGTAGTTGGCTGGCATAAATAGACCAATTGCTCTTGCACAAGCTAATGCTGTTCTCAACCGGATTGATCTGCTCTGCGAGGTTTGATAATTATTTTTGTCTGGGGTTTTGTGCTAATGCCATTTGTGCTACAACGGATCATTATATGACGAAGTTGCAATTTTCTACAGATTGCTGGAACCATGTTATTTGGCATTCTATTGTCCAAATATGATCCTGTGACCTGCTTAAAGTTTGCTGCTTTTCTGATGATCGGGTCCTTGCCTATCATGGTAAGTAGCAATTTCCCGTAAGCTCTTAGTCAGGCTTCAGAAATCCAAGGTATTAGATTGTTCGATATTTTGTTGGTATTAAGTATTTAAGTTCTAGTTTTGAGTTTATGGGAAATGATTTTGGCTTAGTATGGCTTGGATTCGTATTAATGTTTTATAATAGATCTTGGCTTATCATCATTTTGCATCGCATTCAGATACATTTCTTTCAGGGCATGAAGATCCACTAAAGCATCTTGCAACTCTAATAGACAAAAAAATCTACTTTTTCAGACATGTCTCATATGGCTAACCAACAAACTGTCTTCTGGAGTTCTTGACCGTCCTAAATGCTCAAAGAGCTGCTGCGATGAAGGAACTCTTTCTGATGTCCTCAGCATTTGTAAGCTTTTTACTCCGATTTATTACATGAGCAAGCTATATATCGTCTGAGAGTGTTTATACATTACTGAATGCTACTTGAATCTTCAGTTAATAATGGAATGGAAGCTATCAAGTTGGGATGGAAGGAATATATCCAGCAACCAGTTCTACCTGCAAGCCTTGCATATGTTCTTCTCTACTTCAACATTGTGCTCACTCCAGGCAGTTTGATGACTGCTTTCTTAACTCAACGTGGTATGTTCAGAATTTAACACCAAATTCAATGGTTACATAGCTTTGGATTATGGAAAACCTGGCATATAGTTGTATTATTGAACTCTTTGTGTATAAATGCACACACCCCTCATGACGAAATTATCTGACGCTGGCATTACAACAGGTGTGAATCCATCGGTTATCGGGGGTTTCAGTGGATTGTGTGCTTTCATGGGAGTGGCTGCAACCTTCTTATCAGCAAACTTGGTCAAGCGATTTGGCATTCTAAAGGTCGGTTCTTGCATTTTCTTTCTCATAACCTGCCTTCCTTATGTAATTGAGAATGAAACGAAGAAAGCTAGAGATTCATGTTACCAGATTTCTTTCTTAACCCGAAGTGCAGGCAGGAGCTGTAGGACTGTTTTTCCAAGCTTCACTGCTCGTTGTGGCAGTGGCAGTGTATTGGAGCTCTTCTCTATCTAACAGAAGCCCTCTTCTCTTCTTCTTGAGTATGATTGTAAGTTCTTCTTCTGATTCTGATTCTGATTCTGATTCTGAATCTGAATCTGAATCTGAATATGGATTGATCACATGGAATCTGACAGGTATTATCAAGGTTAGGTCATATGTCATACGATGTGGTGGGAGCCCAGATCCTTCAGACAGGCATACCATCGTCGAAAGCCAACCTCATCGGTGCAACAGAGATTTCGGTCGCCAGTTTAGCGGAATCGGTAATGTTAGGCGTCGCCATAGTAGCAAACGACGCCTCGCATTTCGGGTTCCTGGCAGTTTTATCGCTAATGTCAGTGGTAGGAGCCACGATGATCTTCTGCAGACTGCTGAGGAATCCCACTGATGAACAAAGACAGCTCTTCTCTTTCGATCCTCTGTCGTGTTCGTAAACTGAGCTGAGAAGGGAGAATCTCTGTCCATGTTATTACATTGCATTGGGTCAATCAGACGAGTGAACAAAAAAACATGTGACGCTCGAGTTTTCTCTTTTTGGGTGGGTGGTCGTCTCCATTACAGTACAGCTCGTTGCAGCATTCATTCATGAAATTATGTATAGTAGTTTCCATGTCTATAGATATGTCTGGTTCGTTTAGCTTTTTTAAGGTTCGTCTTTTTCTTTCCACACATCCTTTTGTGTTGTTCTGTTTCAGCAGTTATGGGTCTCTAGGGTTATAAAAAGTTTCGGCCTTTCTCTGAGATGTGGAGCAAACCAAATCCTTGTAATGGTTTAACACAAGTTTCCTATAAACACTTCTGCAGAAAATGATGATGCCCATGAAAACTTCATATATCTCAGGTGAAGAAGAAGAAGAAGAAGAATATCTATAAGTATTTGTCATTTGACAAAAGAAACACATACAGTGATGATTCACGAACACAAAATCTAGAAAGGGGGAAAAGAAAAATTAAATGTAATGATCCTTACTTACATTAGAGAGAGAGAATGCTCTGTTTTCAAGAAACTCCATAGAAACACTACTGCTCTCTCAATTTCTTCAACGCCTTATTCTAATGCATCAAGAAAGAAAAACAGAGCAGAAGAAGCTTCCTAGAACACCGAGAGAAGATCATCAACCAAGTCATCAACCAATCCAGAAACTATCTCTCTCTCAATCTCAATGCCTTCCTCGTACGCTTCTTTCTCGAAATCAAGCCATCTCCCTTCACAGCTGCTCATGTCCTTCTCCACAAGCTCATCTACCATCATCTCCTGCATTTTCTTTAATCCCTCTATCTCTCTTTTCAGTTCTTCAGCCAACCAATCTCTCCTTTCCCACAATATCCCTTCTTTCCCTACAATCCCTTTGCAGCTCCCTGTGAAAACCCCCTCGCATTTCAGTGTTATCCACTGGTTGATGCAGTCGAAGAGCATCTTTCGTTCAATCTTGGCCATTGGATCTTCTCGGCTCTCCGTTTCATGGAAGAGGCTCGCAGGTAATAATAATACATCTCGGGCCATCCCCAGGGCGAATTCTTTCAGCATCAATTGGCTAGAGCTTAGAACTTCAGTTATATAGTCGACTTCCCAGTTGGGTCGTTCTTTGGCTTCCGAGAAAGCGAGTGCTGCAACGGATTCTGAGAATTCTGTCTCATCTTCTGATCGATGAGGTTCACTTGATGAAACCCAGGTGAGTTCTTGATCTGATGAACACTGTTTTGTGCCTGAACAATGCAAAGGTTACCATTTACATCTATACGGACAACACCCGGATTGATAGAGACTACCTATGATGAAAACCAGTGCTAAACAGACAACCTAAATGAAAAAAAAAACTCGAATTTAATCCCGAAAGGTTGGATTTGGTTGCAGAACACAAGGGCTTACTGTTTCATACGTCATTATTTCTCTGATTCAGTTGCATATGTGAACAAAGATCCAAAGATAGATATGAGGATTAAGTCCCTATATAACGCAGACAATTCTTTCTCGTGGTTTAAAGGTCCGAGATTTGCATGATGCATGAAGAAACAGATGTTTTGTATGGATCTGGTGGATAGTTGATAGAAAAAATTCATGGATTAACATTCAAAACGCAAGAAAAAAGGGATGTGTTAACGAACCATCATGATCTGCTGTTTTGTCTTTGCAATCTGAGCAACTCCAGTTGCAGCCTGTATCATCTGCATCTGTCAAGGTGCTGATGCTGCTCATCTCTTGCTCTTCTGATTGTATCATCTTTTTTTTTTTAAATAAATTTCCAGAAAGAAAAGAAAATATCACTTAAGTCAGAGATCCCTTCGTATGCGAAAGATATTTTATTACATGTAGAGAAACCGATGCACTGCTTCGTTGATTTAAAAAGAACGCGGAAAAGAAATGAAAATTATCCAGAAACTTTGTCATAAACTCTTGAGTTACAAGTTTTACTAAATCTTTTCCTGGAATGCAAATCTAGAGAATCTAGTTGAACAGAGGATAATCCTATTTTTATCCAATAAGGAGGACACTCAAACGCTAAATATGTAAGAAAACAGAATGTGAATCAAAAATAGTAAATCTTATCCCGAGTTTGATCAGAAACTGACCTGGATTTTCCGGTTGTCGTACAACGAAGCGCAGTTAGGAGCAGATTCATTCTCCGATAAACCTTTAACCATACCAGTCTGGATCGATTTCTCGCCTTTTGATGACGAGGAGATCATCAGATTGACTCCGTTCTTCGAAGTGGAACCCAATGAATCTTCGTGGATCAAGCTACAGCCAGATGACTCGATCTTAGATGTCAGTTCCTTGAGCTTTTGCTCCAGAAGAACATTCAAATAATCACCATCGATCACATTGAAACTAACTGCTGAATCTTTGTATCGTTCGATTCCTTGAGCAGATGATCGTGAAGTAGCAGACGGTGATATACCCTTGATAGGCGATGAGAACGTGAATGAAATGACATCCATGTCCTTTTTCTTGTCATCTTTACCCGATATCGAGTCATTATCAATGGTGACGTTACATTTTATCGAGTTTTCGCCCCTTCTGAACTGCATATCATTGGAGATTCTCGGCTCCTGCACCCTGTTCAGCGATTTTTTGTTCCAGAGATTCTTCTTCTGGGATAAAGGTAAAGAAACATCCTTCTCCGTGAGCGATGATGGCGGAGAACACAGCGATACCGATCCAATCTCAGATTCCACAAGAACTTTGCTTACGACTCTGTTCATCACTCTCTTGGATTGCTGCTTTGGAACAGAAGCTTTTGCAGCTTGATTTCTGTCCCTGCAATTCTGTTTCTGGTGATTCTGCTTAAGCACGGTCTTTCTGTCATCATTCTGGCTCTTGACAACACGATTCTTAGCTTCTGCATTCCCCTTTTGCCCTGTAGAGATTCTTTTGTAGCCATTTGATGGCATCGAGCCATCTTGCTTGCGAATACTCGCCTTTGCTTGCGCAGATAGAGAAGATGGATTCACTTTTCCCGATATTTTACTCGTTGCTGGTGTCGCTGATGAAGCCACACCTTTCTTCTCGTTCCGTTTTTCTCTTAGGTTTTGAGGGTTTGGAGCTTTGCTTGCAGATTCTAGCTTCTGTTTCAGATCCCGAATCCTCAATGGCACTGATGAAGAAGAACCAACTGGTGAAACCCGAGTTCTTGTAACCACCAACTGGGAACCTGGTTCAATCATTCTTGAAGCAGCTTCCATTACGTAAGCCGGGTTCTTTGATGGAACAAAACCAGGACTCCGTATAGGCGACAAGAGCCTATTATGTGTGACAGAGATGGTTTTTGCCGATCTCGGAGGCAGAGTTTCAGTTTGAAACCGTTCAATCGGCCGGTTGTGCCCTTTAACCTTTCTTGCATCTGTACAACACCGAGGAACACCATCAACGTCGCCGCAAAGATTTACATGACCTGAATTCTTGTAACCTTCCCATGTGTTTGCACTCCGTGATGATCTAAGGAAGAACGGATCAAGATTTGGTACCGGTAAAGATTCTAAACCCATGAGCTTCGCTACAACGCTCGGGGCTCTGCCCCCGTTTCCATCGTCACTTGTAACAGACGAAGCACAACAGCTAGCGTCGCTTCTCAGATTGTGAACTGAGCTCTTTCCGATCTCATCGACCTCAATCTGTCAAAAAACGAGATCAGTTCCCATTATCCACTAAACTAACACGAGCCTTGAGACATTTGTGAATCTAACGGGCGAAGTTAAAGGGAAGGCTTACAGGAGTTGATGAATTTTGAACATTCTCTCTACCTTGCCTTGGCTCTTCTGATCAATCAAACGAAAGAACTTTGGGATTATAGATCAAGAAAACCGAATGCTCATAGTCACACATCCAGGTTTATGAATCAAACAACAAATCAGTCTAGTTCTTGTAGCCAGGAGCTGCACTTTCTTAATCCAGACAGAACTCACAAGTGCACACACCCACCCATACGAATACACGGGGGATAGTGAATTAAGCAAACCAAACATGATACAGAACAAGTTCTTGATGCAAGAACTGCATTATTTTAAACCACATTTCTATACACACAGAAACACGTATATATATATACACACATACATATGTGTGTGTGTGTGTGTATACTACAGATGAAGACGCCAGATAAAAACAACAGGAACCGAGTAGTTTTTCAAGACAAGGTCTACATTGTCTTAATCCAGACATCTCTGTATGAGACTAAAAGGGTGCGCGCACACACACACACACACAAAAGACAATATTTCAACCTACCAAACAAGAATCAAGATATTGAAAACAAGATCTGCATTGTCTTACACCAGACATCGATCTTCCTATCTATCTATCTCTATATATCTACACACAATATAATAATATATACACCAGGGATCATGAATCAGACCAGATATAAACCAAGTTCACAAGAAGAGGATTGTTTTTTTTTTTTTTAAAAGGGTTTGTCTGTATATATCTATAGACACCAAAACAACAGTAGACATACCAGAGATTTCGGAACTGTTGGAGAACAACCTCTTCCGGGATTTTCCAGGCCAATCAAACAGATTGAGAAACCCTCCTTTTGATCTTTTCCTCTTAACAACGTCCATTTATCTTCTCTACATATAGCAGCAGCCGAATTACTTACAACAACATGAAATGTAACTTGCAAATTTACAATACACTGAACTTTCTCTCAAGACTCTGTATGAAAATATATATATAAATTAGTTAAAGTTTTTTTGGACGAACATCTGCACAGCACAGTAACCGCATCAAATCACTCGACTTTTTGTGTAGGTTGAGTGGAATTATGACAGCTATTATCTACATTCAGCACTGTGGAAGTATTTAATGAGACCAGACAGGATAATGGTGACAATTCGAAAATTTCAGACAATTAAAGAACTGGAGTAAAAAAAACTGAAGGGAAATCAGATCATGTAGGAACAATAGACCTACCTATTGATATCTCCAGGTGCCAAAGGCTTCAATTTTCACTCAAGGGCTCATCCATCTCGGAAGGAATCCAGAGAAACGGTTTTGGAAAAACACCGAAACCCAGAAATTTAGGCGTGAAGAACGAAATGCAGGAACGAAGAACAAAACCCAGATACGTTACAAGATTTTATGACCAAAGAAAGAAATTCGGCCAAAACCTGGTATTTTCAGAAGATCTAACCCTAAACACGACCAAAGCCTTTTACTTTCTCCTCCTCTCTTAGTGGGGATAGTCGCGTGTTCTTCAAACCCGCAGCGAATGAAGAGGATAAACGCAAAGAAAGATAAATCTAACGCAGATTCGGAATTGCAGAAACTAAGGGGAAACGAAATTCGAGGTTTTTGACAAGTGGGTCAGATTTGGAAGTATTGGAGAAAAACAGCGAAAACCCAGAAGCAGATTTGAGATTTGAGATAGGCTAAGGAACTGAAGAAGCAGCAGGGAACTTGAAAACAGATTAACAGAGAGTGTGAATTGATGTGACAGAGAGAGAGAGAGAGAGAGAGAGAGAGAGAGAGGAGAAGCAGAAGCAAAAATTTGAGATGAAAAACTGAATTTACCATCCGTCAACCTCGGGAAATCAAATTATCACTAAATTAATTTGATTACTGCGTTAAAACATTCGATTTGTAATTCTGTGAATAATTAAATATAAATATTTTCTACGTAACATTTTGCGTACTTTGACGGTTTCCATTGTGATACTTTCTTCTAGAGGGAGACCAAAACGGTGACAGATTCATTCATTACATGTAAAGAAAACAATATTTTGGTCAAACTAACTCTTTGACTTTTTTTTTAGTTTGTGCCATGAGATTGGGGAAATAATGCATTGTTTCATATTTAAGAAAAAAAAAACTCAAATTTTGAAATTGTGCATAACGAATAATTTATATTTGAATCTAGTTTTCATATCCGAAACAAATTTGAAATGGTCACACTGTTTTCAGTTATTTTTAGAAAAAGGCAAAAACTTTATAGTAAACAGTGTCTATTTTTTTTTATTGGGCATTAACCCCATGAATTTTGGGAACTGCAAAATGGGTTTGTGCCTTGTGGACTCCACTTTCTTATATAGTTTTAAATTCATTTCAAATATTATCGATGTAGAGTTTCATGCAAACCTCTTTTTTTTTTTTTTATAATCCGAAAATTCACCGCACCTTTGGTCCGACTACATCTCCCAGAAAATCGGAGAAGTTTAGGTGAATGTTTCTCCCCACTTTTGAGTTTGAACCCAAGTTAAGGTAAACCCATTTTATATCTTAAAACACTTCAATTCATTATTCAATATCAAAACATTACCTTAGGTTCTACTATATATTAACTTGAGAATATATTTATTAGTTTCTTTTGACACAAATGAATGTACACATTGCAACTTTCATTTTCTAATGATGGCGTCACTCTTGTTATGTATTTATAAAATATAGAAAATGTCAAACTAGTTATGCTGATTGAACATAAAAAAAAAAAGAGGCTATTATCACCACATATGAAATACATATTATTATTATTATAAATAGTTCTAACCTAGTTTGTAAAGAAATTCAAAGTATTTGGAGATTGATCAAAGAAGAAAGCAAGAACGTATGTTCTGTTTTGGGGGTGAACTTTCTGTAAGAAATATTCACTTGATTCTCATATCATTCATGTACTTCTATTACAGTGTTTATACAGGTTTGATATGCACAAAAGAAAGAAAGTAAATCTCTTACAGAAGGAAACATATAATAAGAAAACGGTAACTTGTATATTTCCATTTGTGCTGATGATGAGTTGTTCATGAGTTTGGTTTCAGCGTGCTCTTAGTCAGGCTTGATTCTTGCTCGTCAACAGATTCTTCCTCGCTTATCCTTGTGTCCGTTTCTTGCTCGCCAACATTCCCCCTCAAGATTGGACGGGAATAGTCGATGAGTCCAATCTTGGAGAGAAATTTGTTGAGAGTGAACGAACTTGTTGCCTTGGTCAAAATGTCTGCGAGTTGGTTTTGACTTCGAGTATACTTTGTTGCGATTAGACCTTGCGTGATTTTCTCCCGAATGAAGTGACAGTCCACTTCTATATGTTTCGTTCTTTCATGAAAGACCGAGTTGGAGGCTATGTGGAGCGCCGCTTGGTTGTCACAGTGTAGTGTAGTTGGTGTCTCTGAGTGAATTCCAACATCATCGAGTAATTGTCGAAGCCATACTATTTCGCTCGTAGTGTTCGCCATTGCTCGGTATTCGGCTTCGGCACTTGATCGTGCCACGACCGTCTGTTTCTTGCTTTTCCACGTGACTAGATTGCCTCCAACAAAAGTACAGTATCCCGTTGTTGATTTGCGATCTATTCGGTCTCCTGCCCAATCTGCGTCACAATATGCCACAATTTCCGTATGATGGTTGTTTGTCATGTGCACTCCTTTGTTTGGGGTTGCTTTGAGGTATTTGAGTATTCTATCCACCATGAGTGAGTGCGTGGTAGTTGGAGCGTGCATCCATTGGCTGACCTGGTGTACAGCAAAACTTATATCAGGACGTGTTATTGTGAGATATATCAGCTTACCTACAACGCGACGATAACGTTCAGGATCCTCTAGTGATTCCCCCTCGCGTTGATCCTTGAAATGTTCTTCAATGGGAGTGCGGGCGGGTTTGCATCCAAGTTTTCCGGTTTCCTGTAACAAGTCAAGAATATATTTCCTTTGCGACAAAAATAACGAGTTAGTGGATCGAGTGACTTCAATGCCGAGGAAATATTTTAAAACCCCGAGATCCTTAATGTCAAAGACGGAGTTCAAGTATTGCTTTGTTTCGCGGATGCCATCATGATCACTGCCTGCAATAATAATGTCGTCTACATAGACAAGAATTATAACAATTCCACGAGATGAGTGAAGAATAAAGAGAGAGTGATCAGAGTGGCTTCGGGTGAAGCCTTTACCGGTGAGGGAGAGATAGAGCTTATGATACCAAGCCCGTGGTGACTGTTTGAGACCATAGAGAGATTTTCGTAGTTTACACACTTGGCCCGGTTTAAGTGTTTGATGATAACCTGGAGGTGGTGTCATGTAGATTTCTTCGTCTAAGTCGCCTTGGAGGAAGGCGTTTTTGACGTCCATCTGCCATAAAGCCCAGTTTAAATTGACAGACAACGATAAAATAACACGGACAGTGGAAAGCTTAGCTACGGGAGCGAATGTCTCGGTGTAATCCTCGCCATAAGTTTGAGTGAAGCCCTTCGCGACCAACCGGGCTTTGTAACGCTCAATTTCTCCCGTGCTTAAGTACTTGATTTTATAGATCCATTTGCAGCCGACAGCCCGTTTGTTCGGAGGAAGATGTGTAATTTCCCATGTGCCGTTACGTTCCAGCGCGGAAATCTCTTCGTCCATCGCTTTCTGCCACACTGGGATTTCCTTAGCCTGCAAAAAACTAACAGGTTCGCTTCCGTGTTCGATCGAACTCAAGAAAGCGTGGTCAATAGGTAAAAAGGAATCTAATGACGAGAAAGATTGAATGGGATGGTGTATGGCAGAGTTCGATTTTCGGATCGAGGGAGCAGATAATACCCAATCTGAGCCGAGACGCGTAGACGGTTGATGAGGTCTGGAGCTGCGTCGCAGAGGTAGGGGCACAGCAGAGGACACGTGGGCAGGTTCGGCTGGGTGGGGGACCTCGCGTTCAGAAGAATCAGAGCCTTCGACACCCACAAGAGAAGGGTATGGAAGTGATTCCCCCTCAGGAAAAGCATCTGGAGGGGATTCTTGTGCATCGATACCTGCTGTGGGTGTTAGTGGTGGTATAGAATTTGAAGAGAGAGAGGGAACCTGTGATAGGATGGGTGTGTCAACGTCATGTGTTGGTGAAACAGTTTCTGGTATGTGCTCAATCATGGTATTGTCTGTATCTGGTGGTAGAAGAGTTGATGATGATTTTGGAAGCGGTGATGTAGTGAGATTCAAGTTGCTGATGGACTGAATATACTGGTGGAGGGAGTCATGATAATCTGATCCTTGGCGGGTAAGATTTTCCAAAACAACCCAATCATGCTCGTCGAAGTAGCTAATATCCTCCATGAATTTCACGTCACGAGAGGTGTAAACATGTCGGGACTGAGGGTGATAGCATAGGTATCCTTTCTGGTCCGATGGGTATCCTAAGAAGACACAACGAATGCTTCGAGGGTCTAGCTTGTCCCGAGCTCCTTCATGAACACGAACAAAACACACGCAACCAAACACTTTAAGGTGGTCAATTGTGGGTTTCTTATTAAAAATTACCTCATATGGAGAAAGATCATGTAGGATTTGAGTGGGAATGCGATTAATAAGATAGCATGCCATCTTAACCGCATCGCTCCAATATTGTTTCGGGACGTGCCGATGGAATAAAAGAGTTCGAGCAACTTCCATGAGATGACGATTTTTACGCTCGGCCACACCATTTTGTTGAGGAGTGTGTGGACACGAACGTTGATGTACGATGCCATGAGTGAGAAGGTATTGCCGGAAAATGTCGCTCATGTACTCGCCTCCATTATCTGTACGTAAAATCTTAAGAGACAACCCAAATTGGTTAGTGACATAAGCATGAAAATTTTGGAATGCTTGAAACACATCACTTTTCTTACGTAGAGGAGTGACCCATGTGTGTTTGGATTTTTCATCGATAAAAGTAACGTAATATTTAAAATTATCCCGAGAGAAGCACGGGGCTGTCCAAACGTCCGAATGAACAAGATCAAAGACATTATCATAAGTAGTAGTGGAAACGGGAAAAACTGAACGAACATGTTTCCCAAGCGTACAAGCCTCGCAAAAGAGGTTATCATGTTTGTGATCGGGAAGAAGTAAACCTAAAACTTTAGAATGCGGATGTCCCAAACGGGCATGCCAAATGTTTGGAGAAGCAGAATAACAACAAGAATGTAAAATCGACGGTTCTTCAAGGTAGAACAAGTTGGCCTTTTTGTATCCTTTGCCCAAAGTCTCATTGGTATTAATATCCTGAAAGAGCACACTGTCAGCTTCAAAAATGACACGACATGACATCTGTTCGAGAAGTTGCGATAGAGAGACAAGATTAAGTTTAAAATCTGGAACATAATATCCAGACAAGAGTTTGCCAAGTAAAGGAAGAGTGCCCTTAAAAAAAAAAAAAAAAAAAAAAAAACTGGCAGACAATCAATCAAGTGTTAAAGTAATGCCTGAACAAGCAGCTATGGCCACTGCACTAGAACTTAGTCTAAGAATAGGAAAGAACATTACAGTTTCCACTGCACCAAAATGCCCATAGCCAGACCAAGAAAGATTATAGTTATGGCATTACAGGCACTAGAAGTTTATGGAAGAGGGCAATATTCATGAATATTGGCAAAGCATTATATGAAGTTTTAAAAGAACGACCGCCTTACTTTCTCGATATCTATCCCTAGGAATCTCTCGTTGCTCGCGCTTAAAGCACAAGTACTCGGCTAGCAAGGCCGTGACACCGAGTCCAGTTCCGTTCACAGCCCACCATGTTATAGAAGAAGGCCACCCTCCATACATGATGCATAACAAGAGATGTATGATGTAGAGAGTTGCGGAGAAATCTAAGCATTTCCGTGCTCGTTCCACCAGAAAAACCATGTATACAGCCCTGCCACAAAACAAAAGTGGAATCATCAAACGACAAGCTGCAAGCCTTGGAGAAGAAGTGAAAGAAGAAAAGTAGACATGAGGTTGAGAAGAAAGTCGGGCACTGGTTCTAACCCGGCCAACGAACTGAGAAAGAACGAGGCGATGGCACACAAACCCGAGACGGTTGATAGAGTGAGTGTTGCATAGTCGAAGAAGTAGACAAGACTAAGCCGAGGAACCCAAACGCCGAGGAAAACCATCATGAAGATTCCGAGAGTGAGATAGTATGAGCATTGAAGACAGACAATCTGGGCAACTATAAGCCAAGGGTCCCATAAGGCTTTCCCATAGAACATGACTGCAACCAATGTTCAGCCCTAATTGAGACTAAAACTCTCAATTCCCAAATCCTCAGCTGGAAACCCTAATTGTTCGATCGTGGGGCATGTGGAATCATTCGAATGCTCAGAGACAATACTTTAGCATACACCGAAACCTAGAACCAAACCAAAATGGTAAAATTTCAGCGCACTTAAAAATGTTAACAAAGAAATGTAGCAAATCAAACTAAACCAGGATGCAAACGAAACTCCACAAGTCCCCAAATCTTCAATGGGGAGCCTAATTGCCAGTTCTTTCAAGGAACACAGTTCTCATAATAATACCCAGAAACAATCCAAAGCATAGTTTCCCAGAATCAATTCATAAACAGAAAACGACCCCAAAACCTGGGAGCAGCAGCAGAATTGACAGTGCCGTGAGGCAGCAGAATCGAGGCGTGTAAGCAAGATCAAGAGGGATAAACCAAAGCCGCGGGACGTGGAGATGACCGGAAGCCAGATCGCAAAAGCTATTCCCGGAAATCCTTCTACGCAAGATACGATTCAGCTTCTTCTCCCAAGAGATTCCCAAAAGAAAAATGGAACGTTGTGCTTCACACCACATAATTAAATAAAGAAGACATAGAACAGTAAAGACCGCATAGCGCAGTGGATTAGCGCGTTTGACTTCGGATCAAAAGGTCGTGGGTTCGACTCCCACTGTGGTCGAATTTAATTTTTTCACTCCTATTTTACTGCACTTCTTGCTCGTCAACAGATTCTTCCTCGCTTATCCTTGTGTCCGTTTCTTGCTCGCCAACAGTTTGTTCAATATCTTTTTAATAAATGTTTTACAAACCCAATAACGCCAAATATAAAAAATATCGCATTTTTAAATTCGATTTTTTTTCTGAAGAGTAATAATGTGATTAGTGGAGATTAGGCTGAACACAAAAAATAACAAATTAAGCATCTCAATTTCACCTTTTAATTTCCTCGGGTGGGGCCCCTTTTTTATTAGCCTCATGCAATAAGTCCAAGCATTCCCACCCCGCCCTCTCTCTCCTCTATTTAAAAATATCGCATTTTTTTAAAATTGTAATCATGAAGAAACAAAAATAATAACACTGGAAACAAATGCATGTGCAATCTGGTCAAAACGAAAAAAAAAAAAGGAATCAAATCCTAGAAAAAAGCGTATGACACCAAACTAACCACTTATAAGTTATGATTATTGATTAATGATATATTATCACACTCAAATTGACTTAATCTAAATGGCATGTTTATAATAGTCAAATAAAATTTAATGTGAAAATAATTGTGTATAATAATAATTTAAAAATATAAAAAGAATTAAAAATCGAATATAAGATCGTAGATAGAATAAAAATTGACCTATAAATAGGATAGCTATAATTAATATAAAATTTAATCCGAAAAAACATCCAAGAAAGAAGAGAATCTAAATCTATGAGGACAAGGCAAACGTGTTCTGTCGTTGTAATTTGTCCTCTCCGGCCGGCAAGCTTCTGCCCACGAGAATGAATGTCCATCGAAATATATGACAAAAAAAACACATGTAAATGGACAATATTGTCTTTATACGAAAGAAGCATAGGAAATTACATAGATATAACGATGTATGTTAATATAGTTTCATTTGTAATTATATAACACTCTTATATGGAGTGAATTTCCGAATCCTTAGACAAACTACCCACCGTTTCGCTAATCGTATATTATATATATAATTTGCATATATTTTTTGTTAAAATGATATAAAGAGTTTTTTCTATCTGCCTAGCTATGATTATATTTATATATAAACGATAATATATTAAAAAACATGTCAATACAAAATCAAAATATTTTATTGATTATATACACAGATAAAAATATATGATTATATTAAGCATAATACATCATCGTGTAAGCTATTGAATCAAATATATCACCTTTATACGATACGTGCGTTAACCTATGATCATATTATTTTGTTTGGATTATCATAGAAGTATATATTGTGTATGCCCATTTGATTATGAATATATTTTTTTTGATAACCAGGATAGTTTTCCGAATATTCGGTCCAACTATATTCACCCTAGGTCCGGAACCAAACTTTGTATATAGACCATTTTTTGTCGAGAAATTACATTCCTTCCCATCAGTGGAATCGAACTCATGACCGATGATTTTGTCATATTTCACCCATTAAACCACCAACTGTTGGGTTATATATATACATATATATATATAATACTCGGATCTCAAACTCTATGTAGATGCGATGCGTATGTGCGAGCGTGTCACGTGTTATTTCAGCCATACGTAACTCCAAGTTTCAAATTAGGAAATTTACAGGATGTACCATCCTACTCCATATGGAAACTTCGTGGATGCTTGGTAGGTTACTGTGATAATATATATATATATATATATATATATATATATATATATATATATGTATATATATAGATGTGCCACATATATAAATGGTTGCCACAATATTTTATGCATATACGAGTGTATGTATTAATGTGCATTTATTTAAAAAAAGGCATCTAATAAAAGATGGAAACGACGAAGAAAGGGTCATTTACATGTTTTGTTCGAGAGGAATGTCTATGTTTTACCCCGGTCGCCAATTAAAAACCATTTGTCCAGAATAAAAATATAGTGTATTATATCGGTACTTAATCTATAATATATATATATATATACTTATAACAAAAATACCATGTGTATAATATATATGTTTTTTTTTGTTTTGAGTATAATATATATGTTCATGATTGGTCATCGCAATTCATATAACCAAGGCATCATAGCACCACAATATATATATGTACCATAACCGACGATCATAAAACAGTTTGTTTTTTTTTATTTTATTTAAAGAAAATTCATATGGTCCACCAAACCAACGCTGCAGCGCATAGATGGAGAATTTTTTTCCCTTTAAATATGGGTTTAACTCGAAAAAAAAAATGTTAAATTAAATACACATCACCCTATTTAAGTTAATAGGATGAAATGGAAAATTATTATTTTTTTAATTTATATTTCAAATGTTTTTCGGATTTACTTTTTCACTTATTCCATGGCTAATTTCCTTTTTTTTTCTTTTGTTTTTTGTTTAATTTGTGGGTTGGGTTACTTTTAGGTTATTTTGGAAAAAATATTTGGATTAAGAATTGAGTAGATCGTGTATTTGTCTCTCTCAACAGAAACCATGACTTTTTCCTCGTGTAACCAACGATCGATTTGCAGTATCTTTTTTCTTATCTCATCATTTTATATAAATAAAAAATATTAATTATCACCTGCCAATTATATGTTAATATTTTTTTTTAATGCAAAACGTAAAAAGTGGGACCCGACAATCTCATGATAAGATTATCAATATTTATATTTTTTTTCTCCAAAATTGATTGTATTTCCATTATTGTATCTGTGGGTTAAAACCTTACATTGTATATTAACATAATCGAAAAAGAACAGAAGAAGCATGGCCGTTTTATCTGAAACTTTGTCTCTCTTTGATTCTTGTTATTTATATCTATTATTACCACATCAAAGTTAAACCTTTTTTTTTGTATTTGTAATTATGCACGTCACTGCATACTAATTGATGTATATATACACACACATATATATAGTTATTGATATTTTTTTTTTCCCTAATTCGTTACCGCGTTAAAATAAACTCGAGCGTGCTTGTTGAATAGTAGTCATGCTAACCTTAGTAGGGAAGGGTGTTTTTTTTTTTTGGTTAAATTAGCAGGGAAGGTTCTTCGAAAGTTCATTGTCTTTATATAATTCATTCGAAACTCTCGGACCCCAATATTCATTATGCTCTAATTTGCCTCTTTCTCCCACAAAACCCTGTTTGTTTCCCGAGAAAATCTACGGATTTTCTTGCCCATTTCGTAAGTTTGGGATGTCTCGAAACAGCCCTTTGCATGGGGATGGTGGTTATCGTGGTTTTGGAGCTCGAAAATTCACGTTCAAGAAGTGTGTCTTTGTTTTTTTTTTTCAAATCTTTTTCATATGTCTGCATGGATTTTTTTTTTTTACAATAATTAGGTTTTTTTGGTCATGCAGAGTTGTGAAGCTGGTAATGAGAGATCGGACGATGTCCCGTTTCCATGATCTAATGGAGAACACTTTCAGGGAAATAGTTAAGCATAGCTTCACTAATTAATCACGTATCTAAACTCATCAGTACCTTATATTAAGGCTTAATTACGAGGTTAATTCGGTCATTTTGTTCTCTTAAGCCATCCGCGTTTGACCGATTTTCTGTCCCTTTGAAAATCTAGCTGTCGTTTTGTGTCATGTAATGAACTTTATGTATCTATCTCCTTCAATAGAGCAGATTATCCATATGTATGTGTGTATATATATACTCGTATCATATCGTATTTTAGAAAATTTGCAATTTAATATAAATATATGTATTATATACATACACACAACTTATTCTTCAAAGTTCTCACTGGAAGATCTTGATTTCTTCGGTTAGGTTCGAGAAGCGGTGGATCGCGGGCTTCAGCCCTTTATCTCATCACTGGGAGGGTTCGTTCTTTGTATTTCCCGATGTGGGACGTAAAAATCCCACTCTTTGTTCTGTGCTTTGTTATCGATTTTTTTTTTTTTGAGTCGTTGACTTCCTTTTTTTTTTCAACTCAAACGCAGATCGCTGCCATCATCGACGTCCCTGGTCGAGCGACCGCGTTTCGAGCTGCGTTTCGTCAACTCCCTACCACCGGCGATCTACACCGGAGCCAGTATCAGGGCCGAAGACGGTTCCTTGATCAAGATCGAGCTTGTCGACACCGTCACGAACTCTCGCGTCGTGACTGGACCGCTCTCTTCGTTGCGGCGGCTCGAGATCGTGCCGCTGGACGGCGATTTCACCGCGGAAAGCTGGGAAACGGACGAGTTCAACCGGAATATTCTCCGCGAACGGAAAGGGAAACGGCCGTTAGTTTCCGGAGAACAAGCGGTGACGCTTAGAGACGGAGTAGGAGTCATCGACGGGGATGTTATGTTCACCGATAACTCGAGCTGGACACGGAGCCGGAAGTTCCGGTTAGGGGTCCAACCGGTACGAAGAGATGTAATGGAGGCTCGAAGCGAGCCATTCGTCTGTAAAGATCGACGAGGCGAATGTAAGCATTCTTTTGGATTATAACACACTAGCTAGGGTTTAGGTCAAGTTTCGTAGTACGTATGCATGGTCTTGCCATGAAGATTTGATCATTTGGATTGACAAATTAAAAAACGGGTTTTGAAGCTTACGAGAAACACCATCCGCCATTGCCGGGAGATGAAGTGTGGAGGCTCGAGAAAATCGCAAAACTGGGCGATCCAGCCAAGCGTTTGGCCGGAAAAGGGATTCGTACTGTAAAGGACTTCCTCCGTGGACTGACTATCGATCCAATTTCCATACGCCTCGTAAGATCAGCATCATCAAAAGGCTCTTGGACGGTGTTCTAAAAGATCATGATCATGTTTGGTCGTACCGTATATGTAATATATGTTTCGTTATATATACACTATATACAGATAGTGGGCGGGGAGACTTCGAACAGAAAATGGGAAGCCATTGTAGCACATGCGAACCGTTGCGTTTTGGACGAGACAGAGTTCTACACTTACCGATCGCTTTCTCGTGGCGGTGCCCTTCTTCTCCTCAACTCTGTTTACAGAGTGGTGAAGGTTTCGATCCATGGCTGCCCTTTTCGGAATGTTGATCATCTCGCCATCAGCGAAAAGGTTTAGTTGAATTCCTCGATTCAACATCCTTCTCCTACATCGATATCGATCCTTATATACATATATAGCCTTTGTCTTGAGTTTTTTCAGGTATTTTTGGACGAACTGAAGCGTGAAGCGTATGAAAATACAGTTTCGAACAATGCCCACCAGACATGACAGTCACTGACTTCCAAGGTACTGTGTCCATATCCGACATGTCTATTTTGGTTCGTTGTCAGAAAGAAAAGATCCATTTGATCTTTTTCACGGTTTCTCGTCTTTTTCACAGGGAATCCCTTACATCTGAACGACCGGTTCTCGCATCTCGTCTCCAGAGACCGAAATACCGAAATGGCACCAAACAGTTCACAGACTGCCGTAACAGGTCAAGTCGAAAACACTGATCAAGCCCACGTCATGAGCTTGACGACGGCCTGGTCACCTGGTTCGAGTTGGTGGGCACGACAACTGTACGATGACTTGTACGTCCCTCGTACGGATCAGGAATTGGGACAGTTAGATGTCTTTTCCGATTCGAATATATGTCGGTGGAGGGTCATCAGGTCTCCGAGAGCTCAGTGGTTCAAGATCCGAGCTGCCATCAAGCTCCGTGAAGTTTACACAGTTGCAAGGAACAGAAGAAGGGCTTACAGTTACAGGCCGTACTAGGGTTTCGGAGGTTTCTTGCGGCGGAAGAAATCTGTGTCTATGTGTACATATTTGCGCTATTTTCTGCTCTTCCTTGTCAAGTGGAATAAGAGATAGGAAATTCGTCACGGGGACGAAAAAGGATAGTTAATAGGCAGTTGGATCCCAGCCATTGAGTCCATGAATGGCGTCAGGGCCATCAAGTTTGGCGGTTGCTTAGTTCGTAATGTAATTTTCTTTTTCTGTATTATTGTGTTTACAAGAACGGTGTAAAAACAATATTACTGTATGTAAGCTTAACACGATCATGGTGGAATCTAAAAACATAAAAAAAAAATCTCCAACTTAAAAAATAAAATTTAAAAAATCTCCAACTTTAACTTTGTTGATTTAAGAAAATCAGTATCAATATGTTTTATATAGTTTTAATTCTAGCTATATATGATACAAAAAACAAAGAGTTTTGTAATTATCAAGTATTTAAACTATTTGAATCCTAATTTACGTTTCTACAATATTGTTAATGTAATCAGTAACTACTAGTGGGAATTCTTTATTTCGGTTTAACCAATTAGCTCAACTCATATTAAAACTCTTTAAATAATCACAAAAATCACATAAAATATATGAATTATTATAACTCTTATCGGATATTTCATCTTGTTTTTCAGTAACATTCATTCCCACTATTTTTTTTTTTTTATAAATAAATAAATAAATGGAGATACCTTTATTCCTTTAATTGTAATTAAAACTCGGAGGTTGTCTGGCATCCAGATCCACAATGAGTTGTCCCGTGTCCGAGTAAGTGGCAACATTGGTTACTTTCCTCTTCATTGGATTTCTGTCTTCATATGATTAAAGTTTTGCAGATTTGACAGCAAAAAATATAAAATAAAAAGTTCGCATGATTCATGGGTTTTCAAAAGCTAACACACACACACACACATATTTAAATCAAATAATCATACTATTCGTGTGTATACAGCGCCACTCGTTCGTGATGCCACGTGGCATTCCTCCCGACAGGGATTTGGCGGGTGTTCTGTCTCTCTGTGAACCTGAAACACCATTTCCAAAAAAGCTAACCATCATTTCATTATATATATTATCTCACATAGTCTTTTTATACACACAATTTCATAAGCGATCGAGGACATATTGGTCTTTCGGAATAAAACCCAGAACCCTATAGAAGATTTAGGGCTTTCTTGAGAGATCATAAGAACATTCTCCCGCTTTCTCCATCTTCATCATTACAGTCTCCCCATCTGACTAAACCACAAAAAAGAAAGAAAGATTTAAAAAAATATATCTCTTTTTCTCGATTCCAATCTCAGGTCGTAGTTTCACCAACGCGGTTTTCAAGAAATCGAAGAACTTGGCATCTGGGTATCGACGGGTTCCAAAAAGGTTGGCACTTTTCTCTTTTTTTTGTTGATGAATGAAGCGTTGAACTTATATTCTTCAAAAGAATTGTCTGCAAAAGTCGTTGAGCATACGATTCCCCTTGTAAATGAAACCGTAGCTTGCGGCAGTATTTTCAGGGGGGAGAGAGAGATGATGATGATGATGGTAATGGCGGAAGAAGCGAACAAGAACGAGAGGAGTTGCAGTGAGTGCAAGACGACGAAGACTCCGATGTGGAGAGGTGGACCAGCCGGACCAAAGGTTTACATTTCTGGATTTTGATCTTCTTTGCTCATATATTTCTTCTCCATCCGATCTTTTAAGCCGTATCCTGTTATGTGATGTATATTTTCAGTCACTTTGCAATGCATGTGGGATCAGATATAGAAAACAGAGAAGATTGCAATTAATGGGTAATGATAATATTATGATCAGCAATGCACGAGCCAAGAAGTCTAACCCATCATCATCATCATCCGATGGTGGTGTCGTGAAGAAACAGAGAAGGCTAAGGGAGGAGGAGCAAGCTGCTTTCAGTCTTCTCGCACTGTCCTGCGGCTCTGTTTTTGCCTGAGACAGAAAACAGAAAAACACTTCATTTTCACTTTGGGTTTTTTGTCCCGTCTACCCTGTTTCGTTGTTGATTCTGTGCTAAGATTCTAAAAGTATACAAATCTTGTGTAAATAATGCTATAACATCATTGTTATATTTCTCCAGTTCAATATCTTTTATTCTCAGAATTGTACTCTGCATATATACGTGGGCTCTAATTAGAACAAATACATCGATCCGCAGGCCTCATCACTCGGTCAATACATGCAAATCCATTTTCATCACTCGGGCTACTTTCACATTAATGGTGATCAAGTGTTCTCGATACAGACAAGAGTAAGGAAACAAAATGAAAAAAAAAAGTGCATATGGACCATACCTTCTCGTTGTTTCTCCTGTTGTTGATGCGACCAGGATGGTATTGAGGAAATTTTGCATCTGTGAGTAGAGGGTGATGAACAAGCCTCTGGGCATGTTTTTCTAAAGGCTGCGAAAGATAAGAAGTCGGATCAAAATAATAATATATCCTCGAGGATTAAGAGAATCAGCATGATGAAGGAGAGGATGAGAAGCATGGTTTCACATTTCACCATCTCACCTTGTTTCTGTGTACGTTCTGCCTGCGAACTTCCCGACCCAGTTTTTGCAAGAAAACGATATATATGACCTCGATGTTTCAGAGAGTGCATTGGCCACAATATTTACCTTTTCCATCTCTTTGAGGCCGTTGTCAACTGTGCTTTCAACGTTTTGGATGTTGTTGGTCTATCCGGTCTGGTCTACTATCGTGCCCTGCCACAAGAAGAAGAATGCTGCTTTAAGTAAATTTCGCCAGCTGAAGTTATTCAGGCAGCTAGATGAAGAAACTAAGAAAGACGGAGAATTTCAGCTTACCATACCAGCCTTAAGTTAACTTCAACTACACTGTCAACTCAAGGAAATGGAATGACCTATTTCGACTTGCAAGCTTAAATGTTCCATCTCTATTCAGCTAAGCTTCTTGTTTGGCATCTGAGAGCCCCTAAAAGAAATGGGTCTAACCATATCCAAACTTCCTACAAACCACTGCTCACTTACAGGTCATATACTCATATACATAAACTAGAGAGATATAAACTACAGGATCCTCCAACAAGCTGAATCGGCATTGTCGATTCTATTAATGTTAAGCCAACAAACATTGGGATTGGGTTTCTCAAAGATAATTCATCTTAAGTTTCACACTTTTCCGCAACGCCAACATCGCTCAAATCCACCTAACATACATTTTACTTCTACAATCACGAGCTCAAGGCGTTTCATCGGGAGAGAGAGAGAGAGAGAGAGAGGTACTTGGAATTCTCACGATCCTCGGTGCTAACTGGAACGTAGAAACGATTCGGATTCAGCACAGATGTGGTCGCCATCCCGATCACCGATCTATACCGGATCGCTTCCCCTCAACGAGTTCTTCTCCGTCGCCTTCGAAGTCGAAGACGAAGACGACCCTACCGGCGCACGGCCGCTCCTCGGAGAATCCCTGTACTTCCTGAACAGCAGCGTACGGTTCCTCGTCGCCATGACAACAGAACAAAAACCCTGGAAATCTTACTCCCGCATCCAACTAGGGAAGAAACTAGAAATCTGAATCCAGAAATCCGCTTCGACTAGGATCCGCCAGGTACAGATATGTACGCGATCGTGGTTTCATCATCGACCAACGACGGCCGGAGAATTTTCACGGCGATCAGAGTAACCGGGTTCCGGCCCATCGCCGTCGAGATCGAAAACCTTCGGCTGAGATTTTCAACTTGTTTCCGCAAAATTAAAATCGAATTAATCAAATCTTTAGAAAATTGTAACAAAAGCAAGAAATGAAGGGAAAATAAAAGATTATTACAGAATAAAAATTTTACGTGCTCGGCTTAGATCCCCTGCTTCCGGTACATGTTAACTTACATAAACAACCAACAGTATTGATCCACGTATGAGGCTGTTGAGGTTTTTAGGGAAAAACCCTGCCAATACCATTGTCCCGGAGGGAACTACGTGGCGGGTAAAAATAAATAAACGGCATGCAATTTTTAGGGCCAACATTTTCCGCGACGATTCATCAAGTAAAAGAAAGTTTAACAAATTAAGTTCTCTTTTAGATAAAAATAATATAAATATAAATACATGAAATTGCGAGTTGCAAAATAAATAAACGAAGAAATAAATAACGAAATCAAGAAATCATACAGAGCTCCTCTCCTCTCCTATGTCTTTCACACTCGCTATATCCAGAAATAATTAAGGGAGAAAAGAAAAGAGATAATCTTCGCAAAACCGGCCAGAATCGCCGTTTTCGTTTCGCCTTCTGTCTGAGTTTTGCTGGATTCTTGTGATTTAATCGGGGAATTTTCTCGTCGTGTTTGCCCGAACCTTGGATCAAAATTTCCGGAAATCGATCGTCGATCCCCGCTTCTTTCGATTTTTTTTTCCTGGGTATCGGCTCAATATCATCGTAGGAAATGGATTCCGATTCGTGGAGGAATCATCTCGCTTCGGCGTCGAGGAGGTACCAATTGGCGTTTCTGTCGCGATCTGGTGAGTAAACAAGATGTGTTCTTTCTCTTTGGTCTGTGAATATCTTATCCGGGCTTTGTTCGGTAGCTGTAAAATTGACGGGAAATGGAAAAGAATTGATAGCTGGTGTCTTGTTCGTGATTTAGGATTCGGATTCGGATTCGGATTCAGCTGGTGAGAAAATAGATGGGAAATGGATATTTCTCTTTGTTTTATTCCGGAGCTAAATCCGTTATATTGATGAAGGATAAGGGTTTGATTGAAGATGTCAGCGTTTTATTTTGCTGGCTTTGGCTTTAGGCGGTGCTTGGTTTCTGAGAACATGAAGGAAAGAACTGATATTCTGTTGTTCTATTTTTGTTTGCTTAGGGTTCAAATGAGGGTTTCAGCTTTGCTTTGCTCATTGTTGGTTTTAGGCTTTGTTTGGTTCCTGAGAAAATGAAGGAAACACATTGGTAATTTGCTCCTGTGAGGCCGTAGGCATTAAAATCTGTGCTCACTTATGTGCCTTTGGTATTCCATTGGTGCTCATTGTCATTTTTATTTACCGAAAGTGTTTTAATGAACTACCCAAAGAGAAGAGAAGTCTCATGTGTTGTGTCCTTGAGAGGGGGTGATAGAGTTAGAGCATTTCTGATGTTATAGTAGCTGTTCTCTTACTGCATCAATTGATGTGTTCTGTTATTCTCTTGGTCGTATATCGCCTTTTTTGTGTCTAGATAAGGTGCTTATACACGTTGAAGGGAAAGTTTCATATACTGTAAGATCGGGACGGAATGGAGTTTTAGCATTTCTTACGCATTTGTAGTTGTTTTTGTTCTTGCTCTCTTTGGTTTACTTAATAGTTTTGCAGTATATGACCCATTTCCAATGAAATGCAGACACATTCTTGGGGTTTGAAGAGATAGATGGAGAAGATGATTTCAGGGAGGAGTTCGCTTGCCCGTTCTGTTCAGACTATTTCGATATTGTTTCTCTGTGCTGCCACATAGATGAAGAACATCCTACGGAGGCAAGAAATGGGGTAATATTCCCTTCTTTTTTTTCACATTCGAAATGATGTTTATGGGATTTTGGTTTTCGTTTCACGAATTCCTGATGGTTTGGGAAAAATAATGCAACTCTTTGAAGTTAGGCTCTCTAAATATTCATGTATTTATAGGGCATTTCACTTTGGTTAAGCAAGGAAGATGATTCCAACTTGTGTTTAATTCCTATTTACGCTTCTTTTGCAGGTATGTCCAGTTTGCATGGTTAGAGTGGGCATTGACATGATTGCACATATAACCCTTCAGCATGCCAATATATTTAAGATATCCTCTCTTTTTTTCCCGGGTCAAAGAAAATTATATAGATTTAGTATCTTACTACAATGAATTCTTCTTGCATTTTATTCCTTAACAAGATAATTCACATGCAGCGAAAAAGAAAATCAAGAAGAGGAGGGTCTCAGTCCACGCTCTCGGAAATCTTGAAGAGTGAGTTTCCCGAAAGGAACTTAGAGAGCTTATTCGGGGACTCGTCCTGTGTAGTCTCTTCTTCTACCGCCAACGCGGCTGCAGACCCTCTTCTTTCTTCGTTCATCTCACCAATGCCTGATGGGTTTTTTACATCCGAGTGTCGTTTATTAGCTCCGGAAACTGATCTTTCCAGGAAAACATCAAACGAGACGTCGCTTGAAAGGTACGTACCCTTCATCGTTTTGGTAAAAAAATTTCAACACTTTTTTGGGATCAAAGAGTGTGTTTTTTCTCTCCCTGCAACTTATGTGGGTCTAATCTCTTAAAGATCGTTCTTATTGGATGAAGATCACGAACATACTTAGTTTCAGACATTACTATCGTGGAACCGAATCATGCAATTTATGTTACTGGGGCTGATGAAATTGACTTGATTTTTTTTTTGGATTCGTGTGATAGAAACGTGGGAAAGCAATCTCTTTCAGCGGAGGATCACAAAGAGAAGTTGAAAAGGAGCGAGTTCGTTCAAGGGCTGTTGAGCTCCGTGATTCTTGACGATGGCTTGTGAAGGCAGGGAATATATTCCGACATAACTTCAGTTAAAAAAAAATGTACGGCCTTTGTTTGTTTTGTGATCTACAAAGGTAGGGGAAATTATGAGTGTAAGTTCAAAACACTGTAGTCCATCTCATCGTATTCCTCTTAATTTCGTTTATATTTATTTATATTTCGGTTTGCTCTGGGTTTTTCATCATTGTTAATTGAAATTGCAAGGACAAGTTCAGTTATAAAATTTGATTATACAAGGAAGAAAGACAAGAAAAGGCCCGGAAATAAAATCAATTTTTAATTCTGAAATCTATATGGGTCTCTGTTTTATTTTTTTACTATGGAGACAAGGCTGTCTTATAGACCTAAACTCAACCAATGGGGTTGTCTAATCTCCATAATCATCTTAACTACATCTTTTACAAAATAATCGAAACAAACGGAGCAGCACCCTTTCATCATGCTGCCGTCCATCTCTCCGGCAACAACGCCGTCGCCGTGATGACACGACACCGGAGGTGGGACCACATGTACTTCGCTGCTCCGGTGCTCGAGTCCACAAGCCGCGAGTATCGTGTGTATTGAACACGTGGCAATCTCGTTGAACGTGGCTTGACCTGAACAGTAGAACAAAGATGAGCAACACCCAAGAGATGGTAAAATGATGCGGAAGAGAAGAGAGCTGCAGATTTGCGGGGTTTAATCTAAAATTAACCCAGTAAGTGATGCAGACAACGCTGAAGATTTTGTGGGTTAAACCCAAAATTTACAAGAACTTTATGCAAAGGAAAAGCTGTAGATTCCAGGACTAACCTAGAAAATCTGCAGAGAACGAGTATTGATTTGTGTTTTAGATCCCTTAACTAAACCTACAAATCGAGAATAACCTAGAAGACTGGTCAGAGAAAAGCTCTAGATTAACCAAGAAAATTCATGACTCTGTTTCTATATACACACACACACATAGGTATGCCGGTTAAACCATACTTAAGGCAAACCCTTGAATCAAAACCTACAGGTAACTGTGGATCAAATTGAAGACTCTACCCTATGAAGTTAAAGTACAGGCACAGCTAAAGATTTGAGAGAACAATCCATAATTTGAAGAGGGAATTGCAGTTTGCTTACCAACGTCGATTTGTACGGACAAGTTTTTCAGATGGGTTTTAACTGTTAGTTGCAGTTGTTCTCTTGCTATGGAGAAATCTCCTTCTGGTGCCACTCTGAACACAGAAACCGTGTTTGGCACGCAGCCGAGCTGATGTTGGCGATTACCTGTGATGGGACCCGTCTCAACAAGTCCAGGCCACAGTCCCAAATTGGCAGACCTGTTGCCAGCGTATGTACTATTAGATGAACCCTGATCTGTCTCGTCTCTTCTTAAATGATCAGACCTTGAGGATATAAGCTCAATGCCACGAACTGAAGACAACGGATCGTTATCCTGTTGTCTCTCCTCAAAAATCGTATACAGTAGCATACCCGTCTCTTGAGTCTTCACAGGTTGAGATGGTTCGGTTTCTCTGCCATGGTCAATCTGTGCAGCTATGAGACCATTACTCAAGTTAGAAACCGAAGTTCCGTCACTTCTACAAGCCATACTGTTAAGCCTATTGCTATTGATAATATTCTGTATACGTCGATGAAGTGTGCGTCTCCTTGATAACGTGGGAGCCCCTGAACCTGATGGAGAAAATCCTTGGACGTCACCATGCGGAAGCCTCGGAGACAAAAGGTTCTCAAGTCCACGGAAAAATGGTGTACGTGGGGAATTTAGCAGAGAAGCTTCCATAGATTCCCCTGAAATCTCAAGTGGTGATGGTCTATTGTACCAGTCATTACTCGTTCTTGGCTCATCAGGACTGAGAGCCCAGGAGCTAGGTGATCCTAGAGCAACGGGCCTACAACCTTCACAATACCAGTTTCCTTCAGGTACTTCCCGGCCAAGACCAACACAATAAGTATGGGCAGATGAATCACATAAATCACAGAGTAACATAAGCCCATCATCTCCACCTTGGTGGCATTCTGTGCACATTACGTTTTCATAAGGATCGAGATAACTCCTTAGCTCTTCTTCAGTCGGTTGATAGACCTGCACGCAGTAAAAACCCAGAGTCAAAAAGGTTAAATTACATATCTCAAGCGACATAAAACATGCAACCGACACATATAATGAGCAGGAAAAGCAACGATCTGTCATAAGTTAACAATAGCTTGGTAATTGGAATATATTCAAACGACAAACCAATACAAGAACAAAAGGTTATTCCTGGTTCAATCTGAATTGATCAAAGAAAAAGCAGCAGCAACATACCTGATCACGTTCAGGTATTGGTATCACCATACATAACACACAGCGAGAAAGACAAACCTCGACTGAGAAGAGGAAGAAGAAGAAGAAATTTTTTATTGTTTCGTTCTTCGTGATCCTTTTCCCCGCGTTAATTCCTTCCGTATTTACAACTTTTTCTTTTCGTTTCGAATTTTTGCAGAACAGGACGAAATAGGGGAAGGCAAATCGACCTGTTTAGGATGGGATGGGAAATTTCCTCTATGTAAATGACGTTAATACCCTCGGTCACCTCCCTCTGGCATTTGAAGCTGCCCTTGGGCCTTTTTGACTTTTCCGGCTACCGCGAACGCAGGCGGTAGCTATCTCCTGCGGACATTCACACCAGGCGTTCACAATCGGACGGCTGATACGTTTTGGATCGGATGGTCAATATGTGAGGTCGGATTGTGTACATAGTGTTAGGGCCCCTCAAAAAGAAGATATTTGTGTCCAAATCAATGCTTTGCACAAAGGGCAACGAGATTCTACTTTGGACCACTCCATTATGCAGGTGAAACAAAAATAGTGACTGCAGCAGTCTAGTGTGCCCCTCAGTCTGCGTCTATCTTCCTCAGACAGACAAATCAGACAGACATGCTTTATGACTTCCTTCTTGTTCATCACCTCTACCTTCTCTTTACCTTTCTTCACTGGCGATTTCCAAATCTTGGGCAAATCTTCAGTGACCGGAGTTTGTCTTGAGGATGATACAGCTCTAGAGGTGGTTCTCAGTAATTTGTTGGCTTCTCTTACCTGCTCTCTCTCCTCCTCCGAGATTGTGTACTCATAATCAGATTCTCCAGAGGACACAAAATCCGAATCCAAAGCCACAGTACATCTGCCCCTCCGCTTGGAAGGTTTCTTTTTGGCCTTCTTTCTAGCAAATGAGTAATCATCAACAAAATCACCATCGTCGTCACCATCATCCTCAGACCTTTCCTTTCTTTTCCGCTCGCATGTCTTTTTTCCTCTCTTTGGCAAACGTGGTCTTCCAACCGACTTTCTCTTTTTCCTCCTTTTACGCCTTCCAGATTTTCTTTTTCGCTTACTTGTCTTACACGCTTTTAAAGCGCTATTCTTTTGGTTGGCCATAACTAGTTCTTCCTCTTCCTCTTCTAATGAAACATATTCATCAGGGGTAAATTCTTCATCATCATCATCGTCATCCTCATCCTCATCCTCATAGTCTTTATCATCTTCTTCTTCTGTCTCAGGTGCATCATCCCGCTCCCCTGAGGTTATTACTCCATTGTCACAATTATGCAAGAAATCCCCATCCGCTTTTACACTCTTGACTGTTTCCATATCTCTCTCTTCATCTTCAGCACCATCCTCCTCCCCCTGATAGTCCTCGTATTCATGTTCTTTCTTGAACAATACCCTCCTTCGTCTTACCGATCTTATCCCTTTGGTTTTCTCTCTAACTAAAGACCCAGCTTTGGCTTTTGGCCTTCCAAACTTCTTTTTCTTGCTCACTTCATCCTCTTTGTCATCCTCATAATCCACATCTCCCTCCTCTTCATCATCAGACACCACCTTATTCATATTTCTTGATTTCTTTCCCCAAATTTTCAAGTTAGCAGAATGTCCATTTTTTCCTTTTGGTCTACCAACCTTCCTTTGCCTCACATTTTCTATCTCCGGCTCACCCAATTCCTCATCCTCCACCTCATCCAAGTCATTGAAACTTTCATCCGACGCATCCCCGTCTAAAGATGAGCAATATTCCTCTATGCTAGCTTCAGAACCTTCCTCCTCTTCATCAGATACCACATAATCCTCATCTGACTCATCCGACCCCTTGTCATTTGATCTAACCCTTCTATTCGATTTTCGTTTACGACTGAACCTGTCTCCCCTGCCCATATGCTCCTGGAACCCTACGTAGGCTACCGAGAGGAAAGACACCAAACACTAATCCAAATCTAAACCCAATAAATACAATCAAATCCGGCAGATCATGAGTCCGTTTCCGAATCAAATCGTATAAAAAACAAATAAATTCCTAAGATCCTTCAATTATTCTTCCCCCAAATTTTTCCTGCTAAGGCTCAAACCAAATTAGGGATGAACCTCAGCCCAATCCCCCAACCTGGAAACCCAAATCTTCCTTTGCTAAAAAAAAATATGCAACCACCTACTCGATCTGTACTGCAAAAAATAAAAACCAGCGCAAAAAAGCCAAACAAATCAGACCCATAACTCCATTGCCCTAATTTACCTAACAAAAGCTCTGATTTGATTCCAGCTAAAGAAACTCTACGTTACCCAATATTTTTAACGCAGCGTTAATTCGATCCCGATATAGAGAGAGAAAGAAAAATCCTTCCAAAAGCAGAAATCGCCCGCAGAGAAAAAAAATAACCCAACGAATTTCCCTTTGTTTATGAAGAAAAAAAGTTAAAACAAAAAAAAATCCAGGTTATAATCACCCCGCTCCTATACATACATAACACACAGCGAGAAAGACAAACCTCGACTGAGAAGAGGAAGAAGAAGAAGAAATTTTTTATTGTTTCGTTCTTCGTGATCCTTTTCCCCGCGTTAATTCCTTCCGTATTTACAACTTTTTCTTTTCGTTTCGAATTTTTGCAGAACAGGACGAAATAGGGGAAGGCAAATCGACCTGTTTAGGATGGGATGGGAAATTTCCTCTATGTAAATGACGTTAATACCCTCGGTCACCTCCCTCTGGCATTTGAAGCTGCCCTTGGGCCTTTTTGACTTTTCCGGCTACCGCGAACGCAGGCGGTAGCTATCTCCTGCGGACATTCACACCAGGCGTTCACAATCGGACGGCTGATACGTTTTGGATCGGATGGTCAATATGTGAGGTCGGATTGTGTACATAGTGTTAGGGCCCCTCAAAAAGAAGATATTTGTGTCCAAATCAATGCTATATGCAGTGGAAAAATTATAACATAGTTCTAGTTATATTTAATATTAAAATTTTAATTTAATTGTATAATTAAAATATATTGATTGTAATTTTTATTTAAAATAATGTATTCTTCTAGCAACATTATTTTTTGGATACGTAATTATTTATAGTTATATTTAAAAAATTACAGATAATTTGTGAAAAGTTGGACCGTTAGCCCACTGGGCTTATATAATGAAAAAAATTATAATTGAAAATAAGCTGGGACAAATATAGCCCATTGGGCTTATTCTAATTGCATCAAATTTTCACAATTTTAAATTCAATTGAATCCGGTTTCTAAATCTTACGACCGTTAATATAAAACAACATTCACTTTCCACTATGACATGAAAGATGAGTTAGGGAATTCACGTAATTCTAAAATTTGAATTTAGATAAACTACGATGAAGTTAAATTATATATTGTTTTTGGGGAAAGATGGTGTTTGATCGTATTAACTGGTTATCGTTTATTTTTTTAAAATATTAATATTAAATAAATCGTGTAGTTTCAATTTTTACATTTATTCACCAATGATTTATGACTCTATAACTAGTTATATATAACCATTTTGGAGATTTATATTTTTTTTAAAGGTTTCATGAAGTAACAGAACCCTCTCTCAAACATTTGAGTATAGAGGCACTTCAATCGTGTTATATAATCGTTTTGGGAATTTTGATTTTTTTATGGAGGATTTTAAAATAAGGGAGAATATACGAAAAGTATATTATGAAGATTAAAAAAAATTGTTCATGAGATAAATTTTCGAATCGAAATTTGAAGATCGCTCAACCAGACAAGAATTATCGCGTATTAATTTGCATAAGAGGGTTGAATAATTGTGAAGAACTCACATGCTTTCTTTTATATATATAAATTAAAAGTTACATATTCAAGAATTATATTTTCAATTTAGGATTTGTATTGAAAGGAAAGTAAGTTGTATAATTACCTCTTTGTGGAAACGTTAACGTTCAAGTGAATGTGTGTGTAACATATCTGAATTCGTGAATTCTATAGCTAAATTTTTTATTAAAAAAATCATTAAATCATTTATACAAATTAGATGTTTTTTTTTATAAATTCAATAGTTCTTCTTTCTCTGTTCTTCATTTTCTTTTTTCTTTTTTCAATCATCATCATTGATCTTCCATGGCATGGTTTCGATCATTAACAACAAAATTTCCTCTTTGTTTCGATCAAAACGACACCTATTTTGTGGCATGGTTAATGATCTCAACCTTCTTATCACTTTCTTTGCAAAAATTATTCCCCAAAATACATATTTAGATATACCAATTCGTAATAATTATTGTATAGCTCGAGCGTAAATGTTAATTATTTTTTATAGAGTATACGTAAAATTAGAAGATTATTAGATACCTACCGTACCATGCACGGTATAGTATACAGTACACCATGCACGTGTATTCGAATACATGATACGAATAAAGTATATAATATTTGATAAATCTAATAAAAGATCGAGTTAAATAATTTATTTTGCAAATAATGATATATAGATTTTCTTTTAAAACAAGATTCAAAGCTAAATTATTACATTTATTAATTCTTTACTAATTAATTATCGTAATTTAATTAGTTTTTATGTAATCTTTCTTCGAAAATGAAGGAGAAAGACACCAAAAAATAAATAAAATTTTGTTCTACACCCATATCGGTGTAGATATATATATATATATACACATGTTCGGAATGTGATATTTCTTCAAAAAAACATAATGTAGGAGCGCTTGAGATTCACTCGAAGATCCGACATATTATATTATTTGTGAGAGAAACACGAGGAGATTCACTCGATAGTCGATTCTACACCGTTCATTTGCAATATATATATATATAAGCAGGAATACAAATGTAAAGTGAAAATAAATTCCATTAATAAGATTGGAAGAACAATATTTTGGAGCAAATATCATATGTGGTGTTGCTTCCAAGTTACAGAGAAAATAAAACATAACAATGTGGGGAGATATATAATATTATATACCTCAATTTCAAAAAAAAAAAAAAAACACACTAAATGAACGAGGACTGAATTTAGATCTTGAGAGACAAATCTTGCCCCCAGTCTTTTGCACTGTCGTTCTTCAGATGAACATCTTCCCTGTGGACGGGATTTTTGTCGTTAAAACTGGTTTCCCCGACAGTTGCCATGAGATTTCTCGAGTAACCATCGCCAATTACTGTGTTTTCCGACGGTCCGAAGAAATTTCTCGGAAAATCACCAACGGGACTGAAGTTTCTCGAGAAACCATCGGTTGGAACGAGATCACGGGTCATGGCCATGCCGCCGTATCCCGAGTTGTATCGGACCGTCGGGCTGAAAAGATTACTGGGGTTTTGGAAAAACGTATCGAAGCGCGAGCCGAGATGGTTGTCATACGACAAACTGTTGGTCCAAGACGCGGTCGATGAGATCGGCGATCGGTTCAAGTGGGCGGGGAGAAGGGCCATCCATGGATACTCCGACCCGATCTGTCTGCGCCTCCTCTCCCATTCTCGTTCCTGTTTGTGAGCGATCTGGTGACCGCCTAGGGCTTGGGAAGAGGAGAACTCCTTCTTGCAGAAGTTGCAGGGGTAAACCCTAGATCTCGACGAACTCCCCACCTTCTGAATGTCTTCCAGCCACCTGGAACGACGGGTCTCCTTCTTGTCTGATCGAGACAAGATCTGGGTTTCCTCCATAGCCTTCCTCTTGACCTGTTTGGTCGAGGAAGAATCGGAAGATGAGATGGAAATCACTTGGTTCTCCATATGTATATGCATATATGTGTGATATGAATCAAGACGAACGGGGATATATATATATATATATGTATATAACACTAAATCTTTGTATGTAATAGATTCGATAGAAGATGTGGTCCCTATTTATTGAGTAGAGAGTTCTGAAATATGCTCCTAACCTTCATGATATTATGTACATATATATGGAATGAAATCTCCAAAGTTTACTACACATTGAATGTATTGGACGAGGTACATAATATTTCTTAATAGATCTTAATTTTACTCTTTTTGGCATAATTATTTTATATGGGCAATATACAATGTTTACAACTAATCTATATATCCCAGTTAATAGTGATCTTTAATCTCTCATGTCAAAAATAAAATAAAATCAATGAATTTTGGATTTTTTTCTCTTTTTGTATCGTGAAAACAAAAAAGAATATGTATATGATTATATGTTTTATTATATTATATTATATCTATGTTTATGTAAATACGTGAACACGGCGGTCTAAATGTCGGTTATATTGACCAACATAAAATAACAAAAAATGATGTATGAATGCTTATTTTCTTGTAAATCAAAGATATACATAACATTACTGATTTTTCATTTGCTATGTGATAACACTAACATAGCATTTCATATATTTTCCAAATTAATTCAACTATATTATACATAAAACAAAATGTTAAAATTACGAAAATAAACAAAATGTATGTGAAACCAATATGGAAAATTAACCTTGAAGTTAGCCTATTAGCTTTATACAATTTTATACGAATTGTTTAGCTGTCATTAATTATATCAAAAATATCATTTTTTGCTATTTTGACTTCAATATATACTCTTCTCTAACTGTGATTCTATGACCCAAATGATTAGAAATATAGTCTAGTCATATATTGATCTCATTGATCATAACGTTAAATTTATGGTGATCATATTAATTCATTATATTCATCCCTTACATATATCACTAATCATTCGATAAAAACATTATAAATTGCACGTTATGACGAATAGACCAACATATAACCAAATTATATTTCTAATCATATGGATCACAGTTGGAGAAGAGTATGTATTGAAGTAAAAATAGTAAAGAGATGATATTTTTTATAATACTCATGTTTAGCTCCATTAGATTTCACTCGCGTTAAAACGGAAAAAAAAGGAAATTTGTTTATCATGGTAGTTTTTTTGGGTAAAATCCGATTATCATGAAAATACCAAAAATTTCATGGACTATGGGATTTTGATGAAAAATAAATTGAAATTTTATAAATGTATAATTCTACTTAAAATATAAATTAAAAGGTATATTAAGAATATAGTTTTACCTATAAATTTGAATAATATTCCCTTTAGCTTTTGATTAATTGTCACACACAAAAAAAAAACCCTTATAGAAAGTCTGTCTTTCACTTTCCAACAATAGAAAAAAAGGTATGTGTAAAAATAAGGAAACAGATATAAAAAGCATACTAAGTAATTTATTCGTTGAAAGTTTATTTCTTTATGTAATAAATATCGGATAAGCTTGCGTGGAAATAAAATCTCGACGTCCGGATTAGGGAAAGCCCATGGAATTCTTCGTGTGAAATTGGGAATAATGTTTTTGCGGATCAAATGTCATATATGAGACTTACCCTTTATGTTCATTTCATATTTGGATTCTTTTCTATTTTTTTCTTGTTAATTTTATAACCAAATAGTTTTTTTAAGAAAAATCGCCTTCAAATTCCATTTATTTACGCGTTTTTATTACTCCAATTTCGTTCCTTTTTACCAAATTCTGCTCAACCTTTTTTTATTCGAATACGTGAATATGTATATTTTCATGAAAAATATTTCGGGTAATTCGTGGAGCGGAAAAGGAACCGTATACATTATTATTTAATCCGATTAATTTGAATAATATTCCCTTTAGTTTTGGATTAATTCGTTATTTTTTATTTAAAAACAATATCTATACAATTTTATATTATTTAGTTCGATTTAATTCTGTTTTATATATCTAACAGAAATATAAATTTATATGTAAAAAAAGAGAATGGACTTTATAATAAACAAACGGTTAACGAAATTTAAAAAACTAATAATCAAAAATTCCTTTATAAAAGCAACATTTTTCAAGAAGCCGTGAAATTGGATATTTTTTTTTAATTTCTTATACAAAAACACAACGTATTGGTTTACGTAAATCCAAAACAATTCGTTACGACTCAATTATTAGTCATGAATTATTGGAGGTAATGTATATTTTTTTTAAAAAAAAAGTAACGTATGAGTACGAGAGACTATATTAATCGGGGGAAAAAAATAAAATGGTCACTGAAATCCTAAGGTTGAGAACTTTAATTAGTTGTGGATTAGTATAGTTAAACACGATTTAAACACTGAATTAATCCGGTAATAATCCCTCTAAATTAAGGTTTCCCCTATTTTTCCCTATCGATAATTAAATTAAATTAAATTAAGAAAGACGAGAGAAAACCGCAAACATCTCGAGAACCTATTCCTGTCCCCGTTTCAGATCGATTTTCCCGCCAAGCCCCACGTTCTCAGACCAACCAAAATAACGGAATCTGTATTTTACGGAAACGGAAATTACCGTTATAAATACGCCATTTCAATAATAATGCAAGAATCCACACTCCCGAGGAGGCTCACGCAGGCTTCGAAGGAGTAGTCCGTCCAATTTTTATATTTTAAAAAAAAAACAGAACAGCTCTTTTTTTTTATAAATTAATTTGTCTCTTCTGATTGATTCCTCGGACAGAGCTGTTTGGTAATTTTTTTAAAAAAAATAATGTCGTACGGATACGATGATGATGACGCGAAGAAGAGGAAGAGGTACGTCATCATCACCATCTCCTCCGTTCTCCTAATCTCAATGGTCGTCGCCGTTACGGTCGGCGTTAGTCTGAACAAGGAAGATAACGGCGATGGGGAGGGCGGTAACGGACAGGTTACGGCCTCCGTTAAAGCCATCAAGGAGGTATGTGCACCGACGGATTACAAGAAGACATGCGAGGACACGCTGAGGAAAAACGCCAACAATACGTCTGATCCGTTGGAGCTCGTGAAAACGGCTTTTGAGGTGACGATGAAGCAAATCGCGGAGGCCGCGGCCAAATCGAAGACGCTGATCGAGATTCAGAAGGATCCGAGGACGAAGATGGCTCTTGATCAGTGCAAGGAGCTTATGGATTACGCCTTCGACGAACTCAAGAGCTCGTTCGACGAGCTGGGCAAGTTCGAGTTCCATAAACTGGACGAGGCCTTGATCAATCTCAGGATCTGGCTCAGTGCCGCCATAAGCCACGAGACCACGTGCCTCGAAGGGTTCGAGCAAACGCAGGGCAATGCAGGGGAGACGATGAAGAAGGCGTTGAAGACAGCGATCCAGTTGACTCACAACGGTCTGGCAATTGTGACCGAGATGTCGGATTTCGTGGGTCAGATGCAGATTTCCGGTCTGAACAGTCGTAGGTTGTTGTCTAGTAACGGTTACCCGTCGTGGGTCGACGCACGTGCACGACGTCTCTTGGCCGCGACGGTGACGGACGTGAAACCCGACATCGTGGTGGCTCAGGACGGTAGCGGTCAGTATGCGACGATCAACGAGGCGTTGGAACACGTCCCGAAGAAGAAGAACGTGACGTTCGTGGTTCACATTAAGGCAGGTGTTTACAAGGAGTATATTCAGGTGAACAAGAGCATGACAGATCTTGTCTTCATCGGCGACGGTCCGGATAAGACCATCATCTCCGGCGATAAAGGTTTCAAGGACGGTATCACCACTTACCGGACACAAACCGTCGGTAAATGATCACTTTCCAATCTCTCAATTTCGTCTTGTCTTTACCATTTTTCATTTGGTGTGACTATAACCCGAACGAACGAACCTTCCGGTTCTTGATTGCAGCTATTGTCGGAGACCGTTTTATCGCCAAGGACATCGGGTTCGAGAATACGGCCGGAGCGATCAAGCACCAGGCAGTCGCGGTCAGAGTCCAATCGGATATGTCGGTTTTCTACAACTGCAGATTCGACGGTTACCAAGACACGCTCTACACTCATTCCCACCGTCAGTTCTTCCGTGACTGCACCATCTCCGGTACCATCGATTTCCTGTTTGGGGACGCGGCCGCGGTTTTCCAGAACTGTACGCTCCTTGTCAGGAAGCCGCTTCCTAACCAAGCCTGCCCGATAACTGCTCATGGACGTCAAGACCCTAGGGAGCCGACCGGGTTCGTCTTCCAAGGTTGTCAGATCGCCGGCGAGCCGGATTACTTGTCGGTCAAGGCAACGTCCAAGGCTTACCTCGGAAGGCCATGGAAGGCATACTCAAGAACCATCATCATGAACACATTCATCCCGGATTTCGTCCAGCCACAGGGCTGGCAACCGTGGAACGGCGATTTCGGCCTCAGCACCTTGTTCTACTCCGAAATCCAGAATACCGGACCGGGTTCAGACGTAGTAAACCGGGTCACTTGGGCCGGTATCAAGAAATTGACGAACAATGACCTCCTCCAGTTCACTCCTGCTCAGTTCATTCAAGGTGATTCTTGGATTCCAGCCACAGGTGTACCCTACACTCCCGGTTTTTTCGCCGGAACCGGTTCACCCGTCCCGGTCGCCGCATCAGGACCCGTCGAAGCAACGAGTACCGGTTTTGTTCAAACAACCCTGTCTGAGCCCTCGACCGCTCCGGCTCCTAGTCCGAGTTCCATCGCCATGGAGGACCCAGTAAGTGGCTCAGAGGCCTCGACCGCTCCGGCTCCTGGTCCGAGCTCCTTAGCCATGGAGGACCCAAATCCCTCAGAGGCCTCGACCGCTCCGAGTTCCTTTGTTACGTATGACCTAAGTCCCTCCTCTTCTCCGGCGGCTGCTCCTGCTCCTGAGGGCTCGGCTTAGAAGTCAACGACAACGTTTGTGTTTGAGTCTACATAATAGAGTTTGACTTATAAATGTTTTTTTTTTCTGAAAAAAAAGGAAAGGATGGAAAAAGTTTTATAAAACAAAAGAAAAATTTGACAAAAAATCTTGGTCTGCCAAATTGATGGGGAATGCTTTTTTAGCCTTGTATCATCATGTTAAAATCTTCGCTTATTTCCAATATCGTTTATATATTTTATAATAATTAATTAGTATTTGAAACTAATCGTGCTAAAAAAATCACATAATCCTCCAAATACATTTTCGTAGGTTTACTTGCATTCGGATATTTTAGTTTTTTAAAACCAAACTTGGATGTAATGTCCAAATTTATTAAATTAAAATATCATCCGCTAACAAAATTACAAACCCGCATTCAAATTCAGTAATTTTTAATATTTATAATAAGCGACTAAAGTTTTTAGTTTTTACAAATAAGCCCCAAATTCGGCCTGTACAAAACGAGGAGGGAACCCTTGAATTGGGATTTTGTCCTCAGTATCTTTAGGTTCCTCTTCGGAACGCAGCAAAATCAATGGCGGCTTCATCGTCTTCATCCTCCTCGTATTCATCCGATGCATCCTCTGATTCCTCAGACTCTCATCGCCGTCGAAGGGACCGCCGTCGCCGGAGCGACAAGGGCAGGGATTCCCTCAAGGTTCGGAAGAAGAGCCGCTCCAGCACGAAACGACGTCGTAGACGCCATCATTCTTCCGATTCCTCTTATTCTTCTTCGTCCTACTCCGGTTCTTCCAGGTTTGTGGATTTGATGAAAACAACTGCGATTTGATGAAAAACCCTAGGTTCCTGATCGAGGTTGGAAGTTTTGTATCTTTCCATTTTCTGAGCATCTGGATTTCGTATTGTGGAGTTCTTAGCTTTGTCTAGCTATCGATTTGATCGGAGTTAGCTTTTTCTTGTTGGCTGTCTTGAAACTGGATGAAAAAAATTGTAAGTGGAATTCTGTAGGTGACTCGAGAGGGACATTAGACGAACGAAAAAGGCTTCACTTCTGTTGCATTATCGAGAATTAACCCTATATTAGATAAATGTGTGGAGTTTAGCGTGTAATCCTTTTGCTGCTGTCGAATCACGTTCTGGAGCTTCAAGGTTTAAGCTAGAGCAGTTGCAGAGGCGGTCAAAGGTTATGTAAATACAGAGGCTTGAAACTCGTAATATAGATTGTGTAGATTGAGGTCGTCTGTAAATTAAAGTTTCAACGAAACTAACATAAACGGGTCCTTTACTGAAGCTTGCTCTTAATATTCCATTGTTACAATCCATATGAATATTACGAGTTCAGAATCTCCAGCGGTAAATTATGGGGAACTCTTTTATGATCTGGAACAAACAACAGGATTGTTAAAGTTGCCAAACTATAACAAAATAGACCTCACAATCCAACAAAAGAAACAATTATATGAGTGTTCCCAAATTTGATCATTGTGGTAGGATTCTTTATGTGAATATACAGGGTTAGGTTAAATTTGAATTGATTAGTTTCAGAGAGTATGCATCTGTTTCTCAATGATGGATGTGGGGACTTTCTCGAGTCTGATCTTTGTGGCCCATGTTTTCTATCGATATAGCAATGTTATCTTTGATGTTATTTACAGAGATTAGTTTGTTGTAGTGAACCATCTTATGTTTCTGAACATATAATTTGTGAAGATTATAGTTGTAGGTAAAATATTCTTTATGAGTATGCTCTGCTAATCAACTCAGACTTGTTGTTGCAGAAGTGAGAGTTCTGACAGTGAGCACGAGAGATCTCGGAGGCACAAGAAGCATGACAAGCTGAAGAAGGTCTGCTTGATTTTTTTTCTCTTGATCTCTCTCTTGTAATTCTCAGCTCAAGGTGCCTTTGCATTTGCAGTCTAAGGACAGGGAACGGAGCAAGAGTCGTCACCATAAACGGCATAAGAACAGAGACAAAGAGGTAGGCATTATTCTTGTTGCTCCTATTTGCTGACACTGTGTTCATATTTCTAGATGCTTACTAATATCAACCAAGAGTATCATTGATGCTCAAGAATAAGTGGTGCATTGAAAGTTTCTTTTGGAACGTCAAGAAATTCAATATTAGAAACTGATGGAGATGATTATGGCTGTATGATTACACAGGATATAGTTAATTTTTCAAGTTAATCTATCTATATCGTTGTTGTCTTAACTCTAATTTATCAACGCGTGATAATCAAACATTTTCTCCAATTCCAAGTCACTTAGAAATTTTTTTGCCTGTTCTGTGGGCTCTTCAAACTTGGAGCTGGGGCTGGTGACATGATCAACTGGGGCGGTATTGATTTTCCTGGATCCTGTTTCTTGGGTCGGGCTTTTCATCCTGGCACTGTGAATGGTATAGAAGCAGAAGGAAGATGAAGGAACCAGTGGGCCTGTCCAACTATCTAAGGTACCAAAGCCATATTCAACAGATCAAGAAATCATGAGAAGTCCAGATTTTCACATTTCTCTGATAACTGTCATCCTTATTCATTTGTTTTTCAGTTCTTAGGGCGTGACAAGGATGATGGTGTGCGTAGGAGTGTTGTCTCTGGCAAAAAAGTTAGTACGGGCATTCTTTACTTCATCATATTGTTCTCCCCCGTGTTTTTTTTTATTACTCATGCCTGTTTGCTACAGATTCTACTGAAGCTTGACAAGTCCAAGGAGGACAAGGTTGCCGAGAACAAGAGAAGTGAACTGCTCAAGTTTTTGAATGCAAGTTTTGATTAGCTTTACCTCCATGGCTGTCGCCTTCCTGCTCAACTAGAAAACGTAAGACACGGTTCTTTACTTGCATTTTGCATATCTGTCTGTGATACTGATTTTTCTCCGGGGAAGGGGACCCATCAGTCCGTAATGGACAAAGTTATATAACTGGCAATTTCTTTCATTTATGTAAAATTGGGATGAGTTATAGCTGGTTTGGTAGTTAAGCGTCTTTGATCTCTGCTCGGTTGTCTGGTCTTAAGAAAGGGCGGCTTGCACATCGTTCTTCTTGGAAACTCTATGGAATGGTTTCTGAGATTTTATCTGTGCGTACATCAAAGCGGTTCCAAGATCCTATTATTTGTTTGTGAGCCGTCGTCACATGGAGGTTGTGTTATGCCAATCTTCTTGAGAAATTTTTCTTGGGAATATCCAATGTTTTCCTCGAGCGTGGTCACGTCATACTTGTATGTATAATCTATGGTGAAGCATGCGAGCATTGGCACTAACCCAAGTCATAGGATTGTTTCCAAGCAGAAATTTCGATTTGGATTTCTATGGAAATTCGCTGTAGGGCCCATAAAGTAGAGAAAGTTTGGTTCTAGTTTAATTTGTTATAAAAAATGGTAATAAAAAAAAAAAAAAAAAAACCTTTTACTGCAACGCTGGGTGGATACAAAGATTTAAGACGGATGGAATTTGAAGCCTTTTACTTTCAATAGATTTTACTGCTTTGTGACAAACCCAGCATTTTGCAAGCACTAAACGGAAATGTGTGTGAGGAGAGAAAAACACCATAATTCCATGTCCTGAAGCGGAAGTTTGGATCAAAGAAAAAGAAAAGGGACCATAAGACTTAGACTTTGAAGCCACGGCTCTTTCTCCTACCTCTGGCTCTCTCGAACTTCCTTCCCGTATACCTAACATACGGTTTAGTGTGGCTGTGAGGCACACCCGGCGCCGGACCAAAGTGCTTCACCGCTTCCCGAGCGTTCTTCGGCCCTCTCAGAAGCACCTGATAATACCAAAAAAACATATATACACATGGCATGTATATGTATATATACACAGCAATGAAGAGAAAAAATTTACAGTGTTTTGTCCCAACGGAGCTCGGAGTGCGAGCTGATCAAAGGTTAAGCACTCTCCACCAGCCTTCTCGATACGAGCCCTGGCTGTCTCCGTAAACCTCAAAGCCGTCACCTTCAAAGCTGGAACCTCGTACACTCTCACGTCATCCGTCACGGTCCCAACTACCACCCCAATCTTGTCTTCCTATTAAACACAAACAGGCCCTCCTTCAAAACTCATAAAACAAACCCAAGGAGCTAAAAGAAACAAAAAAACCTGACCAATTCTCTGGATACCCAGATCAAAAAAAAAAAAGACAGTGAATCATCTAAAAAGGGAGTCTTGAAATCCATTTTCTTATACAAGATACAAGAACAGTCCATAATGAAAGAATTGTCAAAGATACATGGCTAATTCACAACCTCTGACAATATACATTAACATATATAAACACATAATAACGGAAAGGGGTCGGGATTCGTAGAATCGAACCTTGCCCTGCATAAAATTGACGAGCCTAGAGAGAGAAAGAGGAGCTTTGTTGACTTTGCTCATGAAAAGCCTCTTCAGTATCACCGCGTTGAAGCTGCTTCCAGTCCTCCTCACCAAAAACCGGTAAAGCTGCATAATTTCAGCGACCCAGATTCCACAGTTTCATAAACTAAATCCCCCACGATCTACCAATTTTTTACTTTTATTTTTTACAAATTCCACCGACGGAACACGACGATAAGGAGGTGATAGCAAATAGACAGTTGTTATGCTTCTTACCTTAACAAGAAGCTTGAGGTAGACATCGTCAGATTTCGGAGCTGTCCTTTTGGTTTTCTTGCTCTTACCTCCTGCGATCAAATCAATACCCTGCAACACGAACACGCAAAAAAAAAAAAAAATTAAACATCGGAAGCAATTAAACGTGAATTAAACCTGGAGGCACAAATTAATTGATATCTAATTCGAAACCCAGGTTCCAAGAAACGCAGAAATCACAGTTGACAGAAAAGAAAAAACTCAAGGTATCACTTCGAACCACAAGCCCCAGAACTATGATCGAGACTACAACCCACCAAATCAAGCTCAAAATTCGGAAAACTAACGAGAAAATGGAAAAACAAAAACAGAAACTCAGATTAAGCGGGAGAGAAAAAGAATCACCATTGCCGCGCCCGGAGTGGTAAACCGCCGCCGGAGGCTTCTGCAGCTGATGGAGGGAGCTAAAAAAATGGAGGGAGGGTTTTCAATAACAATATTTGAACTCACTTGGATTGTAGGGCCCTTTTCTCGACAAAGAGATTATGGGCCTTACTTAGGCCCATTAGTTAACATTTCCTCCTTTTGGGCTTGAATTATAATTTTAAGAGCCTTGTAGTGGCATCTTATCATTCTTTCTTTTTTAGAAAATCCCATAAAAACACTAAATTTGTAAAAATGTATTTATATGTATATATAGCCAGTTTTTTTTTTCAAAAAAAAAAAAAACTGTTGAAAGTGAAATCCCAAATTTTCAGGCAAGAAAAACAGAAAAGAGAGGATAAAAGAAAATTCCGTTTACACCAAATGCTCTAAAATCTTTCACTCAAGAAGTGTTGATACTCTAAAAAAAACCCATTGGTCACTAATTCCCCATTTGATGACCCTGCAACTATATTAGCCCGTAGAGAGTCATTCCATGCTTTTTTACCATGAGCCTGTTCATGTTGTAAATGTTATGCTTAAGAACAATACAGCATCTGGCTGCCTGCTATCTCAGATTCCTGTCTGAATTCCCTCCCAATCTTCTTCCCCCCCTCCGGTCGGCAGCCAGCCTCTGCCACTGATTATGTCTCCTCCTCCTCCTCCTGCAGCATCAGAAAGAGGCCCTAATGTGATATAATACACGAAACGGTTTCAAGAGGAGATCTTTCTGAAAGACAAGAGATGCAAAGTTACATGAAGAATGATACTCTGCCCGAAAGAACCAGAAGTATGACCACGCAAGTGATCTTTCCGACCGGTGACATATCTTCAAACCACCGCAAAAGACGTCCAAAGGGTGAAAAAGGCTCGGTCTTTTGCGATGATTCTGCCCGAGAACCTTTCCTCCACGACTCCACCACGGAATCTAGACTTGTTTTGCTTCCGTAACATGTTTCTTCTTTGGAATCACCATCATCATCAACTGTTTGGACTGCAAAGCCTGCGGCTTCGCAGAATGCAGTGCCATTAGTCTCCCACTTGGATGCCTTACTGCAGATTATGTCATCGTTCACTCCGCACGGGCTTATTACCTGGCGTGGCAATAAAACTTTTGTCAGAAAACGAGCTCTCCATGGACCGTCTCCATAGAAGGTTAAATTCCAGAAAACCACTGAAAGAAGAAAGTATTTCTAGGTGCCGATAAAAGTTCCTTCTCGATCCTGCATGTTTCTTGTGCAAGTTTCTTCAGAAAACACATTAATATTATGCTCCTTGATATCTTTTTATCAGACTGACACTTCTGGTCCTCAAGAATTCAAGAGCTTAAAGACACAAGACTTACCCGATTAATGGTGTTACCGCCAAAGTAAGCTTCTGAGCAAGCTTGAAAGACTCTGTCACAAAAAGAGGCACAGATACGAGGAGGCCCCGGCTGAATGCCAACGGTTGGATCGCAGATCGAACACTCCAACAATTCGTACAGATGAAGGCAATCTTGGCTAGCTTCTCCATAAGAAGCCAGATTTCTTATGGCTAAGAAAGCTGGATGAGCTTGTGCAGCCGAGCAACATGTCCTTCTACGGTAGACCCTGCACAAATTGAGGCCCTTAGATCCACGGCCAACAGCTTTAGGAACCTTTCCTTCCGATTCATACGGCGGAAAGCGTCCTCCTTTAGAAATGCATACTCCATTCGGCTTCTCTGCACCTGAAGACAGCCACAGTAAGAGAGAGCATAGTAGAACAATATGCTCTAAGCTAACTAACAAATTCTTTGAAAAATTCTTTCTGTGATTGAACTTTTCTTAAGAGACGTTGGCAAATCACAGACCCAGCAAGAACGCACCTCCACACAGCCATAACCGATCGATGATTCGAACTTCACAAACAAATAAGACCATTTTCCTTTGAGACAACGCTATTTTTTTCACAAGTCGAATGACCCAAGTTCACATTGTCCACCAAGAAGAACATCAAAGAATTCAATTTCAAACTAACTGCTTTACATAAGTCAGATCAAACATGACATAAACCGCAAAAAGATTGAAACTTGTAATAACAAATCCGAGATCTTCGATGCCCATCTCAAAAGTTCAACAGAAAGACCAATGTAGAAGCCAACAAGAGCGAGCCCTAATATTCGAACACTCACCAAAAGAAAAGGAGATTAGGGGATGAAGAGACAAAATCAGACTGAGAATGAGAAACCCATTATCCATCAAAACCCTTTCCATTAGATATCTTCTCATCTTCACTCTACGATCAATCTGGGGAGCAACGCCGACAAGCAAAGACGACGACTTGCAAGCTCACAAGTCTCATCGGCACGGGAAGAAGATGAAGATACTCATTACGGGTCGACCCGAAGAACCGAGGATCTACGAAATCCGTCAAATCGGGTAAAAACGGAATCTCCAACAATTCAGATTTCTTATGGCAAAAAAAGCTGGATGAGTTCAAACCCTTTTGTATTTCCGAGGATTTTTTCAGAGAAAAACATTAACTACTCAGTGTATTTTTTTTAGTTTAAAATTTTAAATAACCAACCCTAATTTATTTTCACTAAATTTTTTTTTAATATCTAGACTTTATACAAACTAAAACTCTGTACTATACTCTGTGTATCATCTTAGTTTACAATTTTGGTCTCTGCACAATTGAGAATTGTGAATAGATAATGTGGAGAGATCATAGCTATAAAACTAAGATGATACAATTAGCTGACTAAACACAAAAGTTATAATCTCAAATCTCAACACTATAATCATATGAGAGACCAAAAAATAATATTGAGATATAACATAAATGATAAACAGCTTTTGTAGTGGTTGATGAACTGAAGAACAATGCAGGAGACAGCATTATTGTACCATCAAATCTGTTCTAATTAACACAAACACCTACAAAACGTTATCGCATGAAGATTTCAGATCTTTGCATCAGAACTCAAAAACCCCAGAATTTCGATTCAGAGCCCCAAATCAAAGACAATGGGATTCTTAGATTAGGGATTAGGGTCTTGTTCGTCATTAGAGCAACTTAACTCCAGCTTCCCTGACAGAATCAATGACTGCCTTGACTTTACCATGATACCTCTGATCTCTCCTGAGGTTTATGGCCACGGCCGGAATACCTTTCATCAGGAGCCGTTCCCCGAGGATTTTCCCGATCTTGGCAGCTGCCGCCACGTCACGCGTGGATTCCATGCTTCCCTTCAGGGCTTTCTCCTGTGAGCTCGCCGAAGATGCTACGGTGGCAGTCGGTGAATGAATGACTTGAGCGTGGACAAACTTATTCGTGAAGTGCATTTTAAGCACGTAGGGTTTGAGGAAGTCGGCCAGCCGCGGTGGTCTTACAGGCGGTGGAATAACCATTTCGGTATCTGCAAGAGGACACACGGCAAAACAAGAAAGGAGAGCATGTAAGAACATTGGAGTTGGAAACAATGATCTCACTTAAACTACGAAAGAGGATTAGAGGTTGGTTGAAGATGTTGGAATCTCAGGTCGCAGGCCATAGATTCACCATCACTCGTTACATAGGAGAAGTAACATGACTCATAGAGTGAAAGTAACTCACTGAAAAATAAATTTGAAGACTACAAACCCTATAAGCGTTTTACCAATCCGTATTATTCCATTACAATGTCACATCTCTACAAACCCATTATCCAAGGGTTTGCAGATTCGATAGAGAGCTGCTAAGACAAATCTGGTAAAATAATCACACTACATTATGCATTTTTAGTACAAAGGGCACTGCCATCCAAGCAAAAAACCACAAGAGAACAGGCAAAGATACATCTCTCCAATCCAAGGATTATCAAAATTCAATCTCTATGTCCAAAAGATAAACCTAAGACAATGATCTAGATTTTCAATTGATTCAGGCATTTCGTCAAACGACTGGCGTGCCAAAACCAAACCTTGGTGATCAAAAGTCTACAAATTAAGTGAACCCGAGAACCAAGAAGCAAGCAGAACCGATATTGAAAAACGGGTTCCACATCAAATCGAAAATAAAGCAACCCATCCAGTAAAATCTGGAGAATTTTTCAACATAATTCACCAGATTAGCAATCTGTATTTGTTAATGGAACAATCTAAGCTCCTCACTTCCAAAACAGAAAAGGAAGACACAGAGAAGAAACATCTCCCACCCAGGATAGACACAGTAAATTACCTTGAAAATCTATCTAGCAGCACTCCGATTAAACGCGACGGAGGATTTCAGTTCGCTGAAGATCTTCATCTAGTCTCCCGAGGGTTTGAGGACGCAACAAGGGTTGGGCTGTCTCTATTACATTGGGCTTTCTCACTCGGCCCATGGACTTAAACTCTTCTTCTTTTTTCTTACAAACAAAGTGAAGTGCGAAATTTATTAACACAAACTTGTCGGAAGCAAGAGTTTGAAGAGAGAGGATTAAATATCACTACCCACAATGGCCAGTGACCCACACGAGACCCTCAGCCCGAACCGGCTCGACCCACGTAGCCGTTTACATACCATTGTCTCGTCTTTGTGTTTCTCAAATCATCATCATATACCAATGTTGTTGTTGTTTTTCCTTTTAAAGAGTTTCAGGAGGAAATGTTTGTGTTTCTATGAAAAGCCGCCCCCATATCTGTGGTGGAATCCTTCCAAGAAGGCGGTCGTCCACCTGTACGAGGAGTCTCCATTGATCTGCAGAAACCGATCTCTCTCCCATACGTTAAACCGAATGAACCCACCCGTCTGGTCCGGCGAAGAAGCTGTTGCTGTTCCTGTTGATGTTGATCCCATCCCTGAAGATATTCCTCTTCGGCGACCAGATGGGTATACAGGTAAATCGATCAGGTGGGACTGCTGGTAGTAAGCTTGAAGGGCATGTACTCTGTCACGGGTCCTTGCACTGCTGCCTGGGGCCCTCTGGGCAGCAGCCACTGATCTCCCGTCGACACTGCACACAACCCATCAGCTTTAGACACCAGTTAGTCACTGAAACCTATTTAAAATGTTCTCAGCTCAATCCATCCTTTTGGGCCGATTCCTTCCCTTCACCTAAGAGATTTAAAACTTCAATACTTCAAATTTCAACAGTTCTACAAAGTAAACCATTTTTGTAAAATGTTTCGGACCAACAACGTTATTGTCAGGGTTTGAACGCAACCAAAAGAAGTTTTGCCTTCCCAACTTTGAACTGTACCCTAATCTCTCAAAGTTTTCTTCTTTCTTACATATAGGTGTCTCTATCTATTCAGTATAATTTTACATCCAAGACAGATTACCTGTGACTGATTAAAGGGCGCATGTAATGAGGAGGCCTGGGTCTGAGCAAGTCCAAGCTCGCCCGTGCAGTCCTTGGAGCTGTAGGCAGAGGCGGCCTGCCAATGTGAGTGCCCGGCCCAGAGAACGGCGGCGAATGGTAATCCCAACCGTGATAGCGTGGATCCAGAGCTGCAAAGCCATAGGACACAGGCACTTCGCCAGCCGATGAAGCAGAGTTCCAGTGACTACTGAAATTCGAGCTGTCTGAAACACCCGGAGCAGCGGAGTTTGAGAGCGGACCGAAGTAGGCTATGTATGGACAAGGGTGACCTGCTGAGGAAGCCGCTGGTTCGGTGAAGAAACCATGCTGGCTCAAGAGATCGTCATCTGTATGGAGATACTTATCAAACTCGGTTATTCGATGCAGAGGATAACACAAAGAAATACAGAAAATGATTGATTTGATAACAGACTTACATGAACTTGGCGAGAATTCTGCATCCCTACAGAGTTTTTCGATCAATATGGAACGTTAAGACAAACTTGGAAAAAGTTTGAATTTAGACTTGCCCAAGTTGTAGAACTTTAAAGGCATTTGTACAAGACGAAAGAAAAAAGCTCAAATGTGACTGTACACGATGGAATTCTTACTCAAAAGAAGGAAGGCGCCCTATGCTCCCGAAAGGGCACCAGACCCCAAATGACTGAATACATGGAACGGAAAATTCGTAACTATACAATTCAAAGAGCATCACATAAAACAATCTGCTAGGTTTCGATCGTTTGCTTCAGAAATACTAAAGAAATGCAACTACAAGACTACCGAAACCAAAGAAATCCGAATTCGAGAGATGCATAAGATTTGGTGGGTTTTCAGTTTCTCACCATTTCAGAGTAGGGTGGATCATACATGTCTTCTTCACGAGGCCAATCATCCGGGAATGGCCGGCATCCATTTGCATAAAGCCACTGCCCTTTCTCTATTTTCCGACAGTTGGGGCATTGCATCATCCCCTTTGCGTTAAATGCCGAGCCAATGCAATCTGGAAACAAGAAAAACAAGGCATTGCCTTAAAATCTCCCTATGGAAGGGACACCAAGTAGCAAAATGCAAAGTCTTTTTGATAAATGCACTCTTGGAATAACATTCTAAAATAGGCTAATGATCGATTCCCCTCCAACACAGCATCAATACATTCAAGAACTGATCCATTAAACGATGAGAAAAGATCAACCAGAACAAATTAGCCATGTGATTGTTGAGATTCATCAGAAACAAAGATGATGGCATTTTTTTAATCATGATTCTCTTACCTTAGTTTCAAAAACTCAAATCCATCCACCATGATGTCCTCCAAAAAAAGAAGAAACTCCAAAACACAGACAAAGGATTGATCATATCGCGGAAATCGCAACAGATCCGAGATTCTTAGAGTGAATCGAAACAAAAAAGATGGATCCTGACAATTCAGATCAAAATCAGAAGCAAAACCCATCTCATCCAGGCTCCGAGAAGCATCATTTACCTAGATGGAACTCGTGGCCGCATTGAAGCTTAGCCCACGATCGATCAACGTGATTCGCGACCGTCTCGAGGCAAATCGAACAGGCAACCGAGTCAAAACCATCATCACCGTCGCGAGAATCGCAATCGGCTCCTCCGACGCCGTCGTCGGCGAGATCATTATCACCGAAAGTACATTTCTTTGCATTATTCCCTAAACCCATCAACAGAATCTAATCAGAACAACCCGAATCTCAAAACCCCTTTTTGGCCGACGAAATCACCGCAAAAATCTAACACAGCCCCAGTCCTAGTCCTCCACAGTACGTTAATCAGACGAAAATATTAGCCGATGGCTTATGGAAACTCTCCGATCCCAGTGTGTTGTTTTGTGAGAAAGATTTGATCATGGGGACAAGTCATAGCCGCTGTCCAAACTCCATAACGGACGGCTATGATTCGTTCTCACGTTTTCGTTTCGGCGGTATTTTTTTTTTCTTCCGCTTTCCCATTTTTTTAAAAATTACAATTTTCGTCCACTAATATTTTTGGTTATTTTAATTTAATTTGATAAAATCATATACACATTCTAGAATTTTGTATTTGCAAAGCGTTTAGAAGGCGACAGTGTTTCTGAAAGACAAAAGGTTAAGTAAGAAATGTTCGGATTCAAATAGAAAATTTTCACCAATAATCCATCAAACGCGCTAATAAGCTTATTTTTACAAACTCGGAGAATTGTAAGGTAAAAAAAATCCCGAGCCTTTTAAGAAAAGAAAGAAACAAAGAAAGGCTTGGGATTCAGTCTCTGACAGATAGAAGTATCAACCACGTCCACGGCCGCCTCCTGTTTACACAACAATGACCACCGAGTTCTTAGTTCCAAATTCCAATGGCTGCTCTTCCTATGTTTTGTCTTTACTATTACAGTACACTAACTAACCTTTGTTGCCAATAGGACCTCCTCTGCCACGGCCTCTGGCAGCTCCATCATCCATGCCACGCCCAAGTACCCTTCCAGGACCTTCACCCCGTCCTCCTCTTCCACGTCCAACTCCCGGCGGTTTTCTATCTGTCCAACCCAATGTTGATTGAGAATCATCAGGAAACAACTTGCACACCCGGAAAAGATTCATTATGTTTTAAACACAACACAACTCCTCATAAGAACTAATCCTAAAGCCTTGGCTCTGGATCTGCTCTAAATCACTAGCAGTGACAGGACAAAAAGGAAGAGGTAACATACATATTAACACCTCAAAGGCCTAGGTTAGGTCATGCACCAGTAAGATGCATACAGTTTTAAAGGGATGAGGAAACCATACCTGTGCGGCTCTTCTCCTCTTGCACTTTATCAATAACCTTGAGAAACAAAGAAAGTAGGTGTCACTTCAATGCATCTTCTTAAATAGAAATCGCCATTAGGTCCACACAGCCGGATAGCTTAAGAAAGTCATTTAAATAACAAATAGAGAAAAAAAATAACAGGATTTGGAAAACGAAGAAAAGAAGAGAAAACTTCAATTTTTTGGTTGGTTTTGGATACAGGACACAAAAAAAAACTACATAAAGGGGTCGATATTCTGGTCAGCCAAAAACCAATCTCTGTGATATCGTCGGAAACGTGCTGCAACAAAAGACACCCAGGGGGTTCCACGGGAGATCCTTATATAGACTCAAACAAGAACCCCAGCATAGTACCTTTTGGAGCACATATCTGATTTGGCTAAGCATCATCATTCCAGTGCAAAATATAAGTGATTCTGTCTTAGGCCATGAACCAAAAAAAAAGCAAATCACCTCATCTGGAACTCGAAGATATTTAATCGTGTTGCCACGGATGTAACACTCCGGCATCCTCCAAAACCGGTCTCCATCCTACAATGCAACAACCAAAATATTTGAATGCCAACCACCAAACCGGTACATGAAATAACAAAAAGATTAAAACTTATTTGACATAGGACTTCCAAAGGAGTAGTAAATAACCTTTGATGTACAGATAACTTCACGAAGATGAATGTTCATCCAAGTATCACAATTGACCAAGTGCCCGTTGTAGGTTTCACCGTTCTTAAGCTCCACAAGCTACCAATATGATCAAACCATGAACAAATAATAACCATAAAACAGATGCCATGTCTGGTCAAAACATACACCACCCTGTTACAGCAATCTAATTTTACAGCACCCTGTTAACTCGGTGAAAGAACTGTACAAGCACACGAATCAGAGATTTCCAATCATAGAATCATGCACAACAAGGTCCATAATTTAGACATCGCTCACTCAATTTAGGCTAAAAGTCGCAAAAAGCTCCATGAATTGAAATTTGTTCAAGTCAGAAGTAGAAAAATACCATACCATGGGATGCCCTTGGGCAGTCTTGAGCAAAGAAAGAGGAAGCTGAAAAAAAAACCAAGAAGATTAGAAATCAAAACGAAAATAATAAATATGCCGACGAAAAAAAAACCCTAGAACAATGAATCCACCGAGCAACGTACCATATTCTCTAATCAGAAAATACAGTGCTTCCTATTCAACCTGGAAACCATCAGAAAGTAGAAATTTAAGTCAAAGGAGATACGAGAACGAGAAACGAGACAGCGAAAGAAAGCCCTAGCAAAAAACAAATCCAATGTTTGGGTCCCAATAAAATTCGGGAAAGAGAGGAATAGATGGAGAAACCTTTCTAGATGTCGCGAAGATTCAGCTGAGCTTGTCGGAAACCACGGACAATCTCCGAGAAGAGAGAGTGAGAGATCGAAGCAGACGGAGGCTGTGAATTCCCGAACTGAGTTTCTGAGTTCCGTCTGCTCTGAAAGCGGGAGAGTAATTTCCAATTTGGGGGGGTCTTTTATAAAAAGCGAGGAGTCAACCACTCGAATGGACTCGAGGTTTCACAAACGCACCGCTATATGAAATAATGGGCTGGCCTTAATCATTGGGCTTTGACTACGTCAACGGGCGTTGACCACATTAGTGGGCTTTGGCCACTCTTACAAAATATCCACCTTTGATTAGAGATCGATATTTGTGTGTGAATTTAGTGTTCTATAATGTCTAGATTAAGTTATTTTTTCGGTTTTATTTATTTTATAAAACTGTACCCATTCATTGTTTTTGAGATTTGAGTTTTTATATGAAATTTCAGTTCGATTTGGATTTTATTATGGATATTGAGTTACAATCGATAATTAAAATTGTTATAGATAGAATAATGATACTCAAAATTAGTAAATATATGGTAAACAACAGTTGTATATAAAAGTTACAATCGATAATGAAAATTATTATAGATAAAATAATGATATTTCAAAATATCATGATTTAGTACAATAGAGATCTATGTGAATAATTTTGTTTTCCTGAATTTATTTTAACATATATTTCTTTATTAGAAGAATCGTTACCACGACAAAATTGACAAGTCGTTTCAGCTGGACCACGTTTTTATTGTTTTGATTGAAAAAAAAAAGCCTTTTAAATGCCAAATTCAGTGAAAATAAAAAAAATCCAAATGGTAGGCCCATTAGTAGGATAGTGAAGGCCCATAGCTGTCAGTGTCCAATAATTGGGCCCAACATGATTAAGACGAATTGTACTTTTGTCTTATTTCGCTCATCGATGATATTGGAATTTTACACCGTACAATAATAATAATAATAATGTGAATATATATATATAGTCCGACGGACCCTAACGAAGATTCCATAATAACAAATTTAAATTAAAATTTTAAAAATAATATTGTGGATCGTCTATTAGGCTGTGATGGTTCCGCGTGATTCCCCTTCCACTTTTATTTCATTTATATTGTGTGTGTGTATAAAAAAATATTCATTTTGAAAATTAAATACAACACTAATGTGCTGTTTCAAGCTACCTATCAATTTTTTTTTTTCCAACCAAACTCATAAATAAAATAATCGGTTGCCAATATATTTTTTATATAGATTTGGTAATTTTCTTAATACGCATCATCTCTCCTAAAAAAATTTTAAGCATGGCTGGCTGATTTGTGGATAGCCCATATTTAAGCTACATAACATTCATTAAATATGTAAATTTAAAAACTAATTGATTTTTCTTCACACTCAACAATATTAGATGATTGTCTAAGCTGAGCGCGGATCTCAATTTCTTGGAATAATTACTTAAATCTGCCTATAAATATTAAATTAAATCATTAGTAATGAATTCAGAAGGGGGGGAGAAAACAATAACAATCAATCTATACAAATAACAGCGGCAGAAAATCAACGTTATTTATACTTTCATTAAATAATACTATGGATTTCTTTTCCTATTCAAACCCCATATTAAATGAAATCGACAAATAATTTTTTTTTTTAAAAAAAGAGGGGGGGGGGGCCGAGAAGAAAGAGAGAGGAAGAAGGGCAAAACAGGAAATTCAACGCCTGCACCTGGTGATGGTGCTGCAACCGCGGCTGTACGGATTCGCCTGAGCTCCTCTCCGGCAATTGTAGTACGAAGCGCCGCGTCGGGAGCAGGGCACACTGTTCCTCTGCAGCGCACCGTAGCTGATGTACCTGTTCATCGCTAATATGCGCCTGCTGATCTCCGAGTCGAGCTCCAGCTCTTCTTCCTCCGCGAGACACTCGGCGATGGATCCTCTGCACCCGGAGAGCGAGGATCCGGTGCGGACGAACCCCAGCGTAGCTCCGTAGTCCTCTCCGGCTTCGACGGCTGCGATTACGATCGCGATGATCGCAACGACGGCGTAGATCGCGCGACGGCTAACCATTTTCTTCGTAACAAACCTTCTCTTTGATTCGGATACTTTCGACTCCTGCCTTTGTATTCCTTTTATTCCTTTTAGTTAAGACGGGAAGGTTTTGGTTTGGGTATATAGCTCCTAAAAGCAAGAGGACATTAAGAGAAATGGGTCGGTTTTAGCGTTTATTTACGGAAATGCCATATAGCTGTTAAAAGGGGGCATTATCAAAAATGCCTTTAAATTGCTACCTGTACTTCATGGAGTACCCTCCTCTCAGAAAAAAAAAAAATAACTCATTCACATATACCCTCCCCATATGTACAATTTCTATTATGCCCTTATATTATAAAACAAATAAAATTAAAAATAAATCTAAAAAACAATAATTTTCCTCCTAAAAAATAGTGTCGATTTCTCTCTCCTCAGTATGAGCTTTCATTCTCTCTCCTCCGGCATTTACGTTCTCTCTCTCCTCCGTCTGCTCTCTCCCTCCATTTGCTCTCTCTCTCTTCCAATTTGAACCCTGTCTCCGCCGCCGCCGATTTGCTCTCTCTCCCCATCGATTTGCTCACTCTCTCTTTCGCTTTGTTTGCT